TCTCGCCTTTTTACTCCTCCTCTGGTTAAAAATACCGGGAAGCAGACAGACAATAGGCTATAAGCAAAATGAGTGTGTGGCTGAGCCTGCCACCCACTCACAATCTCAATCTTCCAGCCCTTCCAAAGTCAGCTCTCTCTCTCTCTCTCTCTCTCGCTCTCTCTCTCTCTCTCCTCTTTTACACATTGATTCAGTGTCATACTTTTGGATGAATGACAATTTCGATGTCCTTTGGATGGAACCGAAGTTCAAAGCTCATTTAGGTTTGTTAGCTTTCTGTAAAGAAATAGGACGGACAACTTTCGCTAAAGGAGTTTTCAAATACTTTTTTTAGGAGACAATATATTGGTCCCAGAAAAAATTGTTTAAAAGCTCTCACTCTGTTGGACATGGGTTGATTTGCAAAACAGTCTACATGGAGATATTACACCAGAATCTCTTTCCAGTACCCTTTGCCAGATCAACAGTGTGTGGCCAACCATTTCTATTCTGTTGGCCGAGATATGGCAATGTCATCGACCATAAGAGGATCTTGTTCTGCCTACCAGGCCTGGACCACCTGTGGACATAATAAAACACCCTATTGGTGTAGGTGGTCTGTGTGGATGGTCACATGGCCATGAACAAAAAGAGATGAGACATCAGATAAGACAGAACCCCCAATGATAACTCAAGAGCCAGATTGCTCAACCATAAATATTAAAGTAAATATCAAGTAAAGATTAATGAGGGTTAAATGCAACAGGCAGTACCTAAAATAGAAGGCAGATAAATTTAGAAACAGAAGTAAGGTGAGTATACTGAGAAGTAGTTACTCAAATTGTAATCAATCATTAATTTTGCCTATGCCCTGTGATATTGAAAAGGAACATTTCACAATAGAATTAACATAATATAATGTACCCAGAAATGGAAAATTATTTCATTTTATGAAAAGTTATGTTAACCATGATATTGTTAAAATATGATGAACGGCTGCTGGCTGCAGGTGCAAGAGGTGATCGATTGGGATAGTTTCTGGCAAGACAAAAAAAATGGCCGTTTTTTTTTAGCTGTGGATACAATAAAGGTTGTATCTTGACAAAAATTGATGGCAAGGGACTTACTTAAGTGAAAGCTTGCATGTTGAGAGGTAAGCCATAGCATTAAAATAGCAATATGAAAAAACGTCCAATAAATCTTTCAAAAGGCATAAATGACTTAAAAATAAAAGGCACAGAGGTAACATAACAGTGTTTAGATGACAGGTGGAGAAATGAAATCCCCATGAACACCAGTGCAGAGCACCTTTTATTATCATGAAGTCTGTAATAGAAGTTAAGGCACGGAAGGCAATCAGTTGAAAACCCTCAGCGCTTTCTTCTTCTGCTAATAAGAAATAGTGTTTACAGGGTCATTTCTAATGAGCCACCTTGTGATTTACCTGCCCACACACATTAAATTAAACACTAGAGCTTACATTTGCCTGGTGCAAACAAGCCTTTTGTCATTCCCCATTATAACTTTGTTAGTCATTTAATTCAAACAGTGTCACTAATGCATTCATTTAGCCTCAGAGATCAGTGGCTCTCCTGTCATGTTTTCTTTCTCTTTGCTGTTCATTCAAGTTTCATTTTTATTTGTTCTACTTTCCCCTCTCTACATTCCCTAGTTCTCCAGCTCGTCTTTGTTTCTGCCTTTTTGTTTATTTACATGTTTCCCTTCTCTCTGCCTCAGCAGGCGTATCTCTAAAAATACTTGTTTTCATGCGCAGGTGCTATAATATTATGAGAGCGTGATTATAAATGCAGCTTGAATACTGACTTGCTGTTTGAGATGCAGAAACCAGGGAGCTGAAGAATGAGAGCCACCACCGTCACTGCCCCCCCCCCCCACTCATGGTATTTTTAGAATGCCGGAGAAAGCGGCCATTTTATATCTTTCCACGTGTGTGTATTTCAGCACGTGGACTATCTGCAGAAGTTGTAGGGGAGTGTGTATGTATTTTTGTATGTATTTTCAGCATTTGTGTAAAAGTCATCATCACCTTGTATTTGCACAAGTAGGGCAACAGTATTTCATGCATAAAAACAACTCCAGATGCTGTGCAGACCCACAGAGCATGGAATGATGTGCAGCAACAACTAATGCTGTGTATGAAGTAAACTATGTATAACAAAACCTGGAAAGAAAACGTGCCAATCATGAATCATTTACAAGAATGACTATGTTTGTAGTCTTCTCCTAAACTTGTCTTAAAGCACTCTGAGATTGGTAGTTCTTATGTTCCACTTCAGAGTCACAGAAATGTATATAAAGCGATGTTTGATGTCGATACCAAGACTCTATCTGGAAGAGCACCCAACTGATACCAGTGGGATTAAAAACATTCATGCCATTATGATTTCTAACAGCCATAAAGTAATCCCCCCTATACTGATGAGATATGAGGGGCCTGACCACTCCTGAGTCCTGAGTCCAATTAAAACTCAAATGTTTCAACATTAAACTCCTTTTATTAAGGTTGGCATTAGCTCAGTGTGGCACTAGCTCAGTCTGTAGGGACTTTGGATGAGAGCTTGGAGGGATCCTGAGCTGGTGAGGGAGGGTCGTGCCTTGCTCTAGGGCACCTCGGCAGTCGAGATTCCAACATTTGGGAAATTCGCACAGGTCAGCCCGCTGGAGTGCCATGGCTGGGCCTCACACTGGGTATACCACTTTCTTGATCATGGTATCTCTCCTGACAGGTAAGTATATGGAAGGATCTTCTGATTCTAGTACATGTTAAGACAACAACTTTACTCTCTTCACTGTTTGAACAAAAAACAAGTAACTTGTTTAGGTCCAATGAATGCCAACTCCGGCTGTGTGTTATGTTTTGTTCAAAGGCTTTACTGAATAAAATGCTACCAAAGAATAAAAAAGGCAAAATTTAGCTTTAAAGAGCTTCAAGTCCTACTTTCAGAAATCAGCAGAAGAAAACATGACAGGAAGTTGTGTCTGTAGCTGTATGAGAGGAGAGCTATAATCATTACAATAACAGAGGAATGAAATGTGTTACCAGAACAGCACAATGAAGAGGAAACGGATAATGTTTTGACATTAAGTTTAAAGCTGAACACATTTCTGTTTAGACAAATGTCAGCTGAAACGAAATCTGTCAGGAATGGAGAAACAAAACAAGAGCAGCAGGTTATATTTCACTGTCTAGTTCAGCGGGGGACGTTTGACCTGACAAAGACAGCAGAGACATTAAAACCCAAACGCTGAACTTTCAGTGGTCAAAACTTTCCAATTAAAACATAGTATGGGGCATAAGATACAAAGTGTGTTCAAACCTCTCTGGTAATTGGCAAGCTGAGAAATGATGGTGAAGAGAATCTAAATTCTGTGTTTTTAAAACATGCTTTTCTATTTCAGCTGATTTTTTATTATTGATGCTTTTAAATTGGCAAAGTCCATTTGATAAAGGACTTAGCATTCATGAGTCATACATTTGGAAACAGACTGTTTATTGCTCATCCAGCATGCCCCGGTCACATCTGCAAAGTGCTTGTTTGGTCTGACCAGCTGGAGAAAAATAAAGCGAAAAACAACACTTCTGAATAACACTGAATATTGGGCATTACTGATAGATACAAAAAAAAAAACAGATTCATTTCATGTCGATGTCATAATCAGCCATCCACACGCTCTGTGAGCAGGATGTCTTGTTAACTTGAGAGACAAAACAACACCTCCACATGGCACTCCGCGGTGAAGTGGCACTACATAGTGACTCCTGACATGCATCATTGCTGCAGTGATTAGATTGGTGAGCTTGTGATTGTGTTGTCATATGACTGGTGACTCATCTTCCTGGCACGGCTCTCTGAATTCAGAGAGGATGGAAGAGGACTGCAGGAGCATTTTTGGATGGGAGATTAGTGGTCACAGAGCCCATCAGGTCATCACTCATGATCCTGCATGATTAGTTTCTGCTGAGAACTGACTATGACGGGGAGGTGACCACATGTTCCTGTTGAATGTAGGCCAGAAATCAGCTGCTAGCCTTTACCGTTTCATACAACTGTTCACTGGTAAGTGAATGCAAATAAAACTATCTAACTTAACTTTGTATTTTTTACAGCCTGAATTTTGTATTTTAAAGATTGCATGCAGGCTTCTGCTGGGAATTCATTCGGTGGTATGCAGACCAACATTGTCTCTACAGTCTGTTTCAATCCGAACTCGTCGTCAAATACAGCTTGGCCATTGGCCCTTTCATTAAAAATATGACGATATAGAAATCTCTCAAACAATATTCGCCTTTTCTGTTTTTTTCTTCTCATTATTAAAATGTGTCAATACATGTCAAAACAACAAGGTCAAACCCATCATGAAGCATCATGTTGTCACAAAACACACAGAAACCTTCAATTTGCCAAAGACTGGTTAAATTACTAATGTCTAAATGTTAGAAGTTAAATGTTAAAAAGTTTAAATGTTAAACTTTTAAATGTCTTTTACATGGGTTTCTTGTACCTACCTACTAACCCCTCAATCATACAACAAACAATAAAGCCATTATAACTGAGCCTTTGCTTAGATATGTTCTTTCAATTCTGCTGAGTTGTGTAGAATCAGGTCAAAATCACTCTAATAGTATTTCTTTGTGAGAAGGTTTAGATGAAAAAGAATGAGTTTGTATTTCCTCTAGAAAGTCAGGTTATAAACAGTTCTTGTTTTATTAACCTGTTGTTTAACTTATTTTGGAAATATTTACTCACTGATTGAAGCAGGTCCCACAGGCCCTTTTCCCTTTATAGTTTTTCTATATTTTCTTTAACAGCCATCTTCTTGTTTATATAGCACTTTTTTGTACCACAAACATCTGGTTTTATGCCCCTTCACTTTGTACTATGAGCTAAAAAAAAAAAAGTTGGGTATAGTAACAATGATATACCTCTAAAAGTGAACAGCCCAACTTGTGATTCTGCATTATTAAAAGTAGCAGAGCATTTTTCTTGAAGTAATCTTACCTCAGCTGGAGAGAAGAGCCGACATCTCCTGTGCGTGTGTCCCTCATGAGCTGCACTTCCTCCTCGGTCTCGTAGAGGAGCCATCAACCCGACACCCGCAGCTCCTACTGTCCCCGCTGTAATGGCACCGGACGCTCCACCGCCCACACCGGTCCCGCTCACAGGGCCGCCCGTGGCCCCGGCGATGGCTCCAATGCCTCCCATCATGCAGCAGAGGCCTCCCTGAGCAAGCTCCATCTCGATCTCGGCGTCCATCTCGGCGTCCTCCTGCGCCTCCTTGTTGGAGTCGTCCAGGTGCTTCATGAGCACGGCCACCACCACGTTTATCAGGACAAACTGAGCCGTGAGCACGAAGGACACGAAGTACAACGGGGAGATAAACTGCAGCCCAGCATGGCAGCCGTAGTCGCTGCCCGGACGGTCTGGTGGGCACTCCCTCAGTGTGTCCTTGTGGGTGGAGGGGCATTGGGTGAGGAAGAAGAAAGGAAGGAGTCAGCAGAAGAAGAGTGGGTGGACAAAATGTTAGAATTGAAAGATTTCAGTGAGAACAACAGAAAGAAATACAGGAAGAAGATCAGATTGAAAATGAGTTGAGATGATTATATTTGTGTGCTTTGTGTGATTTAAAGGTACAGAATTAAGGCTTCCCAATGAATATTATTTATTTGAAATAATACACTAGCTAGGGAGTGTTCGATTAAATCAGTTCAGTATTTTCTGTGATTGTTCAGTATGCTTTTTATTTTATTTCTATGGAAAAACTTTAAATTGGCAGCTGGAACAGACTCCACTGAGCCCAATATTTGGCTCAAATTTCCACCCAAATAAACATTAGCCTGTTTCTGTTCTTGCTCCACCACGATAATGAGGCCCAATGCACTGCTTCTCCTTACAAGACTTTTTAAATATTTTGTTTGCGTGTGTCTCTACATGTATTGGCACAGTGACGAACCAGTTTTTAAGGACCCCATTCTAATCGTTTTTCCAGTTAAACATGACAGCGTATTATAAAGACATTCAGCCATCGTTTGTGTTTTTTTAATTTATACTAACTTATCCTTTGTCCAATGTGACATCTCTTTATATCTTTCATTCAAAAGGTGTGTAGCTAAACAGTAAAAAGTTAAGAAACAGAAAATGTTTGTGTTGTTTGAACATTGACTCTTTGTCCAAATTACTGAAGAAATCATGTAGCAATGAGTCTGAGAGGTTTAAAACACATCACAGTGTCTTTGTTTTTTAAAAACTATGCATATTATTTTAGGGAACAAACAAATGAGTAACACCTTTATACTCAATAAAACAGACTCATTCAGCTAATCATTGAAGCCATTAATAATGTATTTAAATAGCATGTTAAACTTTCACATTGCTGCTTGTTGTAAACTGGAGGCTGGATAAATTTTTCAGTCTGTTTATCTTTCAGTTTTGCACTCTCTGAGAGCCTAATCAGCAATAAATCTCGTATCTCACTAGCTGTGATCAAATGTTAAGATCCAGGTACTTGGCAGTGATTAGAGATTGAGACTTGATTGAGGTGATAGATGAGTGATTGAAGAGCAGCATCAAAGACTTAACTTTATGAAAGTACATACAGAAGATTCTGTTGAGTGTACATTTTTGAAACACCGTCTCTGCTTAAAAACACACTTATTACTTTGTGGTTTCCCCAATGATTAGATTGTCCACTACTTTAATCTGAACTGAAGACCCTCAATTACATGTCTGCATCTCAGCTTCTGTCTGCACTCAGATTGGTCTAAAATGGTTTTGCTGAAAAAAAAATGAAATTACATGCTTGTAAATATCTCTAGACTCCCATGCCCACTTTCTTATTGACCCTCATCTCAGAAAATAAGTGCGGTTATCTCTCCTGCGGCAGACATGGTGGCAGTCTGGAAAGTAAAAACCGATCAGCTTACATGGTCGTGTTGTGATGACAAACGTTGCGAGATAAGTTGCGATTCAAACTCTTTCCCAAACTGTATTACCTTCATGATGCCGTTCCAGTTGTCCCCAGTGGAAACCTGGAAGAGGGTGAGGAAGGCCATCCCAAAGTTTTCAAATGTGGCGTGTCGGCTCATTCCTTCACAAGGGTAGTCAGCGTTACACACTGAGAAAAGGCATGATGATAGGAGAAGAGGGGGGATGAAAAGGAAAGGGTTAAGAGCTTGAAATGTTAATAACATCCCCAATGATAGAGTATAGGTTAATCATTCTATCCTTCAGAATGAACTTTTACATTTATTTATTTGTACTTGTACTTTCATACATTTATTTAGCCCAATCACATCTGTTTGTTTGTTAGCAGGAGTGGTTCAGGATTTATGGTTTTAAAGATTTCTAGAAATTATCTCAAGAAGACATTGGCCATGAAGAAGGGGGAAATTATACAGTGGGCTTATTTAGTTTGAAAAATAAAACTATGGAGATTTTGTTTTCATTATTTTGACAAGTCACAAAATAATTGGAAAGCTGACAGCGGAAACACAACAGTGTGGCCCGGGAGAAGGACATTATGCTGGAATCATTATTTTGAGCGCTCTTAAAAAGACCATTATTTTTCTTGTGACAGGTGCAGATATTCAAAGATCTTTATCACTCAATTAGCAACGAGTACGTCGTAGAAGAGACTTACCCAGCTCCCCAAACAGCTCCACTCCCAGAGCTGCATAGATGAAAAACAGCAACATGAAGAGCAGGCCCAGGTTTCCCACCTATAAAACAGAAAAGCAACACATGAACAAGTCCTATAAAAGCAGGAACTGAGACAGTTTCTACTCTTTTAAATCAAATGTGCTTCTACAGACGGTTACGGAGAGTCAGATTCCAATAGCTATTCATCAGTTAAAGCATGCCTACTATCGCACACACTGTTACTTTAAAAAAGTTTCAGTTGAAAGAGAGAAGGTAGATTACTGTGATGTTCAGTGAGTAGCAAAGATTTATGCTCAATATTTAAAGTTTAATTGAAAAGCATGTTGACTTGGTAAAATATGTTTGAAGAAGCTTGAAATTGGAATATGCAGGCAATATTATACATGAAGCCTTGGGGTAGGAACTAGACTGAACATTGTTGAGGAAATGTGTAGATATTTGACTTCAAGAAAGATTAAGGAGACTCTTAAATTTAAGTTGTTTATATATGACTAGTGAATAGAAATGACATGAACAACACACGTGTAATACGGTGTCTTGCCAAGCCATTTCTGACAGACCATCACATGGGCTTGGTATTTATCCACAAAATGATGCTAAAGTCAGCGGCATGGTCACCCTATACTCTACTTAAAAGCTAAGCTTGTGATTTGACACAATAAGAATGTGGGTTTAAAATAATCCAGAGCAGACACTAAGTCTGCCAAACAAGCCAGATATGAAGGGAGACCCAAAGTGACCTTGTTTGTATGATCACGGCCGACTCTATCAGTACAGCTCTGACTACCAAGAGACCCAGGAGATGAGCTAAATGTCTGTACATCGACAGAGATTCAGAAATTCCATCACAAACATAACTGCAAACAATGCAATCAGCACAAAAACCAATGCCTGAGAATGTACAGTTGCTATGTTTTCAAGAAATGAGGTGAAACTGGCTGCATTGGTTGGAAAGCATGAGGTAAAATAGAACACCAAATTAAAAGGTTAGAGAATGATGTATGCCAAAAATGAAATCAGTGCATCTCAAGTTTTCTGCCTGAACTAGATCGCAAGCGTCGCCCTATTCTCATCATCTGTATCCACTGTTAGAGCCATTTACACATACGTAAGTGTTATACATATGTAAGTGTAGTATATCTTTTGTGTGCTTCAGTTTTTTTTTTTGTAAACCATCTCTTTATTGTCTTTTATAGTAAAGCATAAACAGTGTATAACAAAACAGTACACACAATACGAAAACTTAAAAAAGAGGAAATAAAAGTCAAGGAAAAAAATAAATAATAAAAACAAAAACATAGCATCCCTAGTGACAGACAGATCTGTTCATCAGTCCAAACATCATTTTGTATGTCATTACCCTCCAGGAAGTTGTAAAAAATAGTCCATATTTCCAAAACTTGTCAAGTTTGTTTTTTGAGCTTATCCTTTCAAGAGCAAGAAAGAGAGTCATTCCTTTCAACCACTGAGAGACTCCACAGGTTGTCCGTTTCTTCCATGAACGAGCAATGCATCGTTTGGCCTCCAGGAAACAAACATTGAGTAGATATTTGACATTATTTGAAAGTGCAAAATCATCAGGATAGATATTAAGAATACATAATTTAGAGTTAAGAGGCACCTTTTTACTGAAAATTCCCAGTGTGCTTCAGTTTTAAGTAGGTCATGCCTGTTGCTTAATTGAAGGTAATTAAGGCTCCAGTCAACTCTGGCTGCTGACTGGTTAAAGCTTGCAGCATGCTGCCAGTACTGGCTTGCCGGTTTTATTCGAAGCTGTGGAGCTACGGTAGCACACTGGTTTTTTTTTACCGTGCTTTACATTTTGTTTGATTGTATTTTTGTATATAAAGCTTTCAGTACTTGGACTGGAGTTTTTTATGAAGCACGCGTCAACCACATGTTTTCCAGCTCTGCAGTTTGTGTGCGCATTTTTTGGAATAAGACAGAGCCACACTAACATCCACGATGAAACTTTTTTGCAGTTTTAAAATCTGATGAATTCTGATGCAAAAACAAACATCTTCAGGGCACTTTAATCATCTCCATTTCCCCCTGATTGCTTTATCATCTCGCAAACTCGTTGATTGACATTTTGATAAGAGACAAGAAGGTGTTCTAATCAATGATGTTGCAAAGCTGAAAAAACACTTTATGTAGAGTTGTACACTTTGTGAAGAAATTAAAAATTGAAGTGCATCGGTGGATGGAAAACTAATTGTCAAGACCTCTCATGAAAAAGTAAGACAGAATTCTAGTTAGAATATTTAATACGCTACATGAGGCTTTGAATGTTATCTTTTTTCCCCTCAATGAATGAAATAGAGAAAATTTAGTACACCGTTTTGGGGAAAACTTTTACATGCCAACCTCTTAAAGGCACAGTATGTAGATTCTGCCACCAGGGGGCTCTGAATCAATACAATAACAAAAGATGACGTTGAAGCTGGTGAGGAATCATGGGAGTTCTCTCTGCCATTACGTTACATGACGTTTTTATAAAAGCAGCACATACAGCAACAGTACGGCAGCTTTCAGTAACAATTCCTTATGTAGCGGTCTTTGACGTAACATCCTGTGTTTCCACGCCAACGATAAACAGGTCGTGTCTGTCATGGCGGCCGTCACGACACGTGACACGTCCCTCTACAGCTCTGAAATTACAGATTTCTCAGGCTTACTCAACTGTTGGAAATATTTGCGGGTATGTAAGTATTCAACAACAACAAAAGATATAGAACATACAGTAGGTTGAGTCCATTTTTTATTAATTTAGATATTTTCATGTAAACATTGTAAAAACCTTCTAATATTGTTCGTTTACCAGGCATGAATCCTTCCGTGTAGAGCCGTCACAGATACAGATATGCAGTGTTAATGGGTAAAGGATCCTCTGGGTTGTGTTTGCAGGCACTAAAGCAGAATGCTGTTAGCTAAGTCACCTTACAGGGAAAGCAATGTGGTGCTCTCAATAAATAAGCAAATAGAAGGAGAAAGAGTGGACTAGGAGGGAATAAGACATATAGTTTAATCAGTGAAGAGCGTGAAAGAGCAGAAACAGGGAAAAATTAGGGAGGCAGGAATGGGAAAAGCCTTCCTTCGCTCCACACTCATGCATGTTGGTGATTCCTAGCGGATATTAAAAGCTGGGCCCGAGGCAGTTTGCGGCTTGTAACTTAAGCCCATCTGATGTCTTTAGATCCCTCTAGCAAAGAATGAAAGCACACCACAGGGAAGGTATAAAGAAACAGATTGTTGGATACTATGGAAGCATTGGCGCTGGCAGCCAGGCAACAGAAATGTGTGAGAAACACACGCTTTGATATTTATACCTTTAGTTTCCATAGAGAAAGAACCTGCACTGAGCTGCAAACTTTTAACACTGTTTATCGAATGTGTTCTTTTCTGTTTAATGAAATCATGACTCACTCAGTGTTCTGAGTCATGGGGGGTCCTGTTTTTATGTTGCAGTTGTATGTAATTTGGTAGTGTGACACAAGTCATGCTGACACACTAGAGGGTGTTAAACCCGTCTTAAATTGAGAGGAAAGAACACTCTTAAAGTATACAGCGATAAGATGCTACAGTGAGTCCTCCAGGTTGAGGACTTGAGAACACAGACACCTTCAATATTTTATTCACTTCTACAATATTTATGAGACCAATAAGAAGAAAAGGTTAATTCAGATTTTAACCCTGTAAGACGCACGCAGTGTTGCATATTTACATATCTCACCTTTCGCTGTCCCTTAAAAAAAAATCTGTTACTGTTTGTGTCCTTAAATACCACATTTGCATAGTCAGCGGTTCCTTTTGTTTATCCTCACAATATTTCTGAATTGTAAATGTGTTTTTTTTGGTCACAGCAATCAGACCATGAATTTACACAAGATGTGCACTTCTCTGTAAAAGTCTCTCCTTTTTTGATGTTCTGGATTTTTCAAAGAAAGTAATTCAGTGTCTCGATTTACATTTTTTTTTTAGAGCCTTTAGATATTTAGTTTGTATGGAAAACAATTAGTTTGTTATGTCTATGATGCAATTTGACATCACTTGGCTTTAGTGGTTGTCAAGATAGCAAAGGCAACTCTCACATCACATTGCAACAGCTTATGAATCCGATTTTTCACAAGATGAAAATATACTCAAAGAAATCAAAGACTTTGAAATTCACTAAAAGGGTTTTTATGCTTTTTTATTTTGATCAGATAGAGACTACTCTGCAGAGTCATTGCAGAAAAAACACCTACTCTTTATATCATAAACAACAAACATAAAGACACAGATAACCAGGGCAGAGCAGTGTCTTAACTACATTAGCTACCGTCCTGAAAAGCTGTACTTAATACTGAAAGGTTATTTTACCTGTTATATAAATCATAAACAGTGTTTTTCTCTTCATCTTGCTCAAAGCGTCTCTACATTTGGATTCAAAACACACATTTCTTAAGAACCTGCAATGCTTTGTATGTGTGCAGATGGAAAAAGGGACTATTGATCGGAGGCAGAACTAAAGCGGGGGGAGATTTCTGTCACTGTAATTTGAACTCTGTGTGTGAGCTTGTGTTCATTGGTGTTAATGTGTATATCTGTGTATCGGCGTGGACATTCTGTGCTTCAGAAGGAAAACAACTCCTCCCAGATGGCTCCAGTCAGAGCATTGATTTGGTAGTATAGGGCTAAATAAAATCCACTTCTGTTTGCACAAAGTCTCTACTTTACAAATGTCTGTAATCAAGACACTCCATATCAAACAGGGTTGTTTGTTTTCTTCGGGTTTCTTCACATTTAAAAAAAAAATATGAAAATGTATGGTTTTGTTATGTTCGGAAAAGGCAAACAGAGGAAGGGCTTCATTGAAAGATGTGTCACAGCCCAAAGAAGATGCAGAGGATGAATAATGGTGTGTTCATTGATCAGTGGGTATTTTAAAATGCAATTTAGTGCCTTTTTTGTGCATTTTGGTCCTGTGACCTTGTACTCTAAATTGGCACATTTATCTCTGCAGCATCTTTTTCAAAAGCCTCCATCATCTCTGTTTATAAGGAACTGCTAAAACAGAGTTTAGAATCAATCCTGAAACATGTCTGCACTATCAGAGCTTTGCAGCGTCTTTCACGGCATGAATCAGACATTTCACATACAGATGTCTTTATTGAGGTGTGTTTCTGTTAAATTGTTGGTGTTTCGGTGTGTGTTTTCTGTCTTCAGACCCTGTCCTACACACTGCAGCTGCGTAAACACAGATTATGCATACAGTAGAAGTTTGTAGTAGTTACATTAAAATTCATATTTAAACATCATTATGACTAACTACTAAACAAAGAACTAGCACAAATTATACTGAAAGATAATTAATTTTCCATAACACATTTGTCTGTCTTAACTGAGTACGTCAACTCTGTCAACAAACTGTTACAAACACATCAGTGAGCTTAATCACACATTTCTGCTTCGCTGAAAACTCCACCTAAAGTCACCTAATCCGCAGATGAAAACAGCAAGTGATACATCTTATCAGAACTATGACAATTTAATCATTACAAAAAAATGGGAAGTTTTCTTCCAAGGTCAGATCCTATATTTCTGACCCATGTTCATGTAGAGTCTCTAAGATGGGGTTGAACAATAGAGTTTAATAAAGGAGGTGTCAGAAAGGATAGATGAACAGTCTAGTGCACAAGGGATTTGTTGACACCAACAAAAAAATCCCCCCCCCCCCTCCATTTGTAAATATTAAAGGGAAATAGAGGGAATGTCCTCTCTGGTAGACTTAACTCAACAGATGACATTACAGAACATCCAGAGCCACTTACGGTTAGAAGGGCAGTTTGTAAAGCAGCATGCCAAAGATACAGCATCAGTTATCCACCACTAAGTGGGCTGTGCCTGATCTCTCTTTATCATGAAACATGGTTTCAGCTTCAGGCTTTGAAAATACCAACTCATTAAATATTAAACCTAATAATGTAATGGTAGGATGTCCAGCTGCATCAGCAGTCAAAACACAACTGGAAAGATGATCAGAAAAGAGGGTAACAACAACATAAAGGAGAAAAGAACCTCAACTCTTGTTTACAAGTGATTTACATAACAACAAGTCCTCTTACTTCCAGTCTGATGATTCTGTTTTCATTTAACTCAAACTCAGAATAACAAGTTTGCCTTCCACCCGAGGAGGCCATCGAATGCAAGTAAAGTGTAAAACTTTTCTTTGCCCCAAAAAAACCCCCAATTTGTCGAACTCTGCAGCATTTTTTCTGTTAACAGGAGAGTTGTTAAATTGCATATATTGCTTAATATTGCTCTTTAAATTCCACAATGTTCCAGATACTCCAGGACAAGCCAAAACTTTGAGATATATTACATTGGGCAAAGGTTAAGGGAACAAAATGTCTTTTTGTGTGCCATGGGAGCAAAAACGTTTTGAGCTGCTCTTTTCTCTTTTATCCTAGTGGGAATAAAACAAATCCAATATTGAAGCCACAAAGGCCTGACTGTTTCCTGACCTGAATAAATGAGCCGGATACATAGAAAGTGAACAAAGGGTTACAACATTTGGGGCAAAAATTGAGCCACAGCCCGTCTACTAAGGGTGATAAGTCTTCGGAAGTCTTCTATGGACGCTGATCATTTATCATTCCAAAAATGTTAATTGACTCCCTTGTGTCCTTGTGATAAGCCAGAGGAGAGTGTGTGTCTGTCTGCCTGTGTGTGTGTGTGTGTGTGTGTGTGTGTGTGTGTGTGTGTGTGAGGACACGTACCTGAGGAAGAGCCTGGACCACTGTGTCTAACAGAGCTCTCATCCCCGTTGCCATTTTCAACAACTTCAGCACTAGAAATCAAAGGAAGAGACAACGTTAGCAACAACACAAAAATATTTGTCAGTGTGGTGCCTTTGACACAAGTCGTTGGGCGAATTTATTTATTTATTTTTAAATCTACGGATAGATTTAGAGAAAGTGAGTCGGAGGACAGAGCTAAAAGATCCCACAGAGATAGAGGGGAACGATCAGCAGAGATAATAGGGAGGCAGAGAAGGAGTAGGAGAGCGATAACAGACGATCAATGGATGGAAAAAAAGATCCAGGCTATCCATGAGAGACCCTTCACCATTCTCAGAGGTCCAATCTTAGGAGGAACAAGGCTGTGGTCGGTTGGAAGAAGAAAACATGTGCAGTATTTGTGGGGACCAGCCACTCAGACAATAAAGCCTTCCGAGAGGTAGATGTGGATTGATGGTGGTTGTGTGTGAGAGAGAGAAAAGGGGGATCTGACAGTGTGTCTGTCAGTCTAATGACAGTGTGTGGTTTGAGCAATGTCTGTAGACCTTTCTCTCCAAACCGTGTCCCTCTCTGGTTTTTAAAGCTTACGACACAGATTTTAGATTTGTGTGTTTGTGCATGTTTCTCAGAATTGGCTTTATACTAACAGGAGAAAAGTGATGTGTTTGCCTAAGATATCACTGTCTTAAAACTTAATACGCCTGTTTCTGCTGGGAATAACACTAGGCTACTTGAAGTAACTTTTTTGTTAATCCCAACAGAAACAGTTAAATACTTTTGTGAAGCAAGATAAATAGTCTTGCTTTACAAGAAAAAAAAGAGAGCGACAAGCTAATATAAACTGTTGTAACTTATTGCTTTAACAGTATTAATCCATTTTTATTCAAATTAATTTCCACATTCACCCAAGTTAGTTAAGATTAAGACAAAGTGGCAATATATTTTAGAGAGGACAGAAAAGATTTCAAATCGCGTAGGCCTTACACTCATCCTCAAATACCCCACATGCTTGCTAATTACCACTGGCTGCTGTTTAACTAGTATATTACCAAAGGGGGCACTCAGTGGTCTCAGGGCAGTGATATAAAGGGCAGAGCGTGATGGTGGGAGGGCGAGGATTAAGTGAGATTGATGTAATTTGCCTTTATCCTCCTAAATGTGGAGTAAAGAGGAAGTGGTGCAGCTCAGAGAGCAAGTCTAGCAATTTCCTCTGAATATTAACAACAGATAGAGGATGAGGATGGGTTAATACCACAGCAGAACCAGGTGGGTAAACAAGGAGGAGAGAGGAAAATAGAATAACTGCAATTTTAATATAATTTACAAATAGTTTGTATTTGGCAATCATCATGTTTGCAATCATACAAAGGGAAAAACAAAACAAAACAAACAGATAACACCAAAAAATCACCACCATGTGTACAACCTAACCCACCAGTTTTATTTTACATCATTTTGCTGCTATACTGTGTACTCTTTGTCCTATTTGCTCATTTATTCATTTTGTCCTGCTTTCTAATTCACTCATTTTATTTAATTTCCTTTTCCCTTTTATTTTGTTTTGATTGTTTGTTTGTTTGTTTGTTTGTCTGTTTAAGTCGGCTTGCAAAACTGTACCGTACCATAGTTCCCCTCTTGTTTGTATCCCCTTTTTTGTGTGATTGTATGAACGCATGTTTTTGTGAATAAAAAAAAAAAAAAAAAATGAGGATGGTGATATGATAGATAATGAGATGGAGTGACAGATAGAAATTTAAAACCAGCAGAAGAAAAATGTTGTGTAAATTACTGATAGAGTATATGTTGAGCATTTATTGATATTTGTGTGTCTATGACCAATAAATGCAAAGATAACTTGCAAAAAGTGATTCATGTTGCACATTTTCTTCCTGGGTCGTTTTGTGTTCACACTGCAGTATTGTAAAGCGGGGAAAATCACACACCAACGCAGGGTTGTCCGTACACCACAATCTCCTTTCCCCACTGCTTATGTAAACTAGCTGCACATTGTATTGTGGGAAGCGACTTTGAGGCAGATGAGCATATTTGTCAAATCAATCAATCAATCAATCAATCAGTCAATTTTTATTTGTATAGTGTCAACTCATAACAAGTGTTATCTCGAGACACTTTACAAAAAGCAGGTAAAAGACCTTATGCTTTGTTTATTAATATTACAAAAAGCAGGTATAAAAGACCTTACTCATTGTTATGTTACAAAAAGCAGGTAAAAGACCTTATTTATTGCTATATTACAAAGACCCGGCCTATCCATCATGAGCACTTTAGCAAAGCAGCAAAAGTTACAGTGGTAAGAAAAAACTGCCTTATTAAAAGGCAGAAATCTTCGGCCGGATCCCAGGCTTATGACGAAACAGCCTTCACAGGCCTAGACTGCGCCGGGCTTGGAAAGAGATGGGCTAAAATGCTACTGGAGAGTCATGAGTCAACCAGTAATTTCTACCAGTTGCTAAGTTGATTGCGTTCTCACAGGGTAATATTGGAAGCGAGCCAAGGCAACCTGTTCTAGGCAATTTCAGCCCACTTGCTTTATTCTGCATCAAAGTGTGATTGCTATTTTTCACTACTTTGGGAAACAATCTACAAAACACAGACTCTGTATTTTCAAAATATCTTACTTGAAACATCCCATTGTTTCTGCTTTGACTGTTTTTCATTCATCTAGTGCTCATATTTCACATTAAAGAGTTTATAATAAAAGGAGAACAAATACTTGTGTTAGCTGCTGCAAGGCTTTTTATTAAAATTAAGATTACATAATTGTTATTTACTATCTTTAAAATCCTGACAACACATTGTTGCAGTGGTTAGCAATGTCTACCTCCCAGCAAGAAGATTCTAGGTTTGAACCAGGTGAATGACTATGGCTGGTAACCTGGTTAGGGTGTACCACTACTTTGTTAAAAATTCAGCAGGTGAAATGAGTTAAAAAAGAAAGGTATGTCTCTATAATTAGCCATAATTTTCATATACAGTCAAATTGTTGAGTTAATGAAGGTGAATACAATATTACGTTACACATCGTCTCAGATTCAAAGTGGAAAACGTGTCTTCCTACCATGATCCTATTGAACCTCTTCTTTGTGTGTGAATGTGTGTGTGTTAGTTTCTGTGTGTGGCTCTACCTCGTGCTATCCTGAGGACCCTCATGATCCTGATGATGGTGGGGTTGATGGGAAGGGAGGCATTTATTTCAATCTCCTCCAGGGTGATACCCATCACTGACAGCAGCACAATGGCAAGGTCCAACTGGTTCCACCTACACACACACACACACACACACACACACACACACACACACACACACACACACACACACACACACACACACACACACACACACACACACAGCCACACACACACACAGCACAAGCCCAAGCACAAAAACAAAAACAAAAAAACCTTTTTAATTTCCCCAGTTAAGTGAAAGTAAACCAATGAGCATGATTATAGACTATAAGCTCCGTATGTGTCACTGGACATCAGGACTTCACACATCAGAGAGTCTATGTTATGTTAATGAACCAATAAATATTTATATTTTACATGAACTTCATGCCGAATTTGCATGATTCTCCAAATACTGACTTGGTAGAAGAATGCCTAACAGCATAAGCGATTACCTGAAGGTGTGCTCCTCTCATGAATATTTATGTTAATACCAGAAGAACGCCTTCTATAATAAAATATGCAAGGTTTTTGTCAGTGTATTTCAAGCCTGGCAACCCACAGGATTCAAGCAACTGGAATCTTATGTTAAAGGTTTGATTTTCAAAAACAGAAACAATGGGCATATTTAAAAAGGAAGAAGATATACGGGTTGGGAAGCTCACCAGCAACATCTATTTGTTGAAACCATTGAGTGTATAAACATATGGATGTCAAATCTCCATCTCCTTCCGTCTTATAAAAATTGAAGACAATATATCCCTTTGATGAGCTCTTATTGCATCGGTAAAGTCATTTGTAGACAAGACATGTGCAGAAGAGATCCGCCGGGTGATGCCATAGAGTTGATGCACTGCCTCTTCTGCTTACCAAAACTTTACTTACAGATAGAACTTCAAATATCGCTCAGGTCAAGTCAAGTCAAACTTTATTTATACAGCACATTTGCAGGGCAACACAATGTGTTTGTATAGTCCATAACAGAAAAGATTATTCGCTCAGTGTACACTCATGCATGTCGGACGATCATCATTTAATCAGCTGCTCCCGACCAGACCGATACATTTCTGACAAGTTTGATATTTGGTCGTACGTCTGCACTCAATCGACAGTGTGAGCTAAGTCGTGAGCTAAGTCAGGAGCCAATTCCCAGACTTTAGGACTTTTCCCCCCTGATTTTACCTGCACAAACTCCCAGACAGCGTCTACAATCCCCATGGCAACAGCAGGCATGCCCTTTTTATCTGTCTTCCCCATCCTATCGTGAAATAAAGTATACTGCTATGCATGGAGTAACAGTATGTATCCATGTTGTCATGCAGAAAACAACCTACACCTTTTTCGGATTTTAAGTACATTCAACTTTACTTCAAATAAGAGCTTGTCTGACAGCTTTTTCTTCTTATAACTTTAAAACAACCTCTGAGAGAGAACAAAGGAGCGTGCCACAGCAGTGGAGGAACAAGAGACAAAAACATAATCTGATCATCTGCCCTAATAGATCTCAGTTTTGTTGAAGTGTGTGAACAACAGAACAGATTGCAGACTCTGTTAACAGATTGATGCTCTGTCATATAAACAGTCTGTTCATCCACTAATCACCTGTACAAAATGATCGGATACTCACTGCTCAGTTAATTATAAACCATTAACTGGTCACAGGCCACGTTTGTGTGAATATTCAAATTTTGTTGCTTATTAAAGTGTACAATGTTCTACCTCTGACACATGAATTCAGCTACACAAGTAATACTATTATTATAATATATAGAGAGAGGCATCTAAATGGTCATTTTGTTTTTTCAGACATCTGAAAATTCTAGGCAGAAAAGTTATCTGAAAAAACATTTTAAAGGGCTTTCACCTGGATATCACCTTGTTTACGGCTACACTACAAGAAACTGAGAAAATGAAAAGAGGAAAAACTTCTCCAATTGTGAAAACCTTTGATCAAACACTCGTCTAAGACTAAATGTGGTTCAGACTCTTAAAGATGGTACAGTCTAAATAACACGTTTTTTAAAACCCAATTTTTCTCCATTTGAGAATGGAACAGACACTGCAGATACTGTAGTATTCAATTATTTCATAATTAATACTTTAACAAAGAGTAAGAACAGAAATAATAAAAATAGGTTTATACTAGAGTAGCACTGCATAATGATACAATCTATGTTGTAGGGCGTCGTACATGTTATTTAAAGTGAATTAAATCACTTGATTGAATCAGTGATCTTGCATTTCAGTCAAGTCAACTGTATTTATACATCACATTTTAAAATAACCATGGTTGACCAAAGACCTTTACAGAGTAAAATACTTGCAAAATCTGTTGGATTGGAAACCAAAGAGAAGAGATAGGTCAATTTAAAACATTTGAGAGTGGGGGCAGATCTTATTTGAAGTGGTGAGCTGTTCAGCAGGTTTGAGGCATCTACCGCAAAGGCTCAATCGCCTCTGGTTCTAAGCCTTGTTTTTGGCACATCGAGGAACAGCTCTAGCTGGATTATGAACATGGAGAGGTTCAGTTAGGTAAGGCCTTGCCAGTCCATTAGGAGCTTTAAAAGCCTACAATACAATTTTAAAATCAATCCTGTAACGGACAGGAAGCCAGAGAGAGAGCAACAAAAGGTGTAATGTGGTCCCTCTTTTTCAATACAGTCAGGAGGCCAGCAGCAGTATTTTGAACCAGCTGCAGGCATTGAATGAATGACTGGTCCAAACCTATATACAAAAAATACAATTATCAAATCCAGACATTAGCAATTAATGGATCACTAGCTCTAAATCTTTAAAGGGGATAGGACTTTACCTAAGCACCAAGCCTCAACTGAGGAAGCAAGACTGAACAATGGAAGAAATCTGCCTGTCAAATTTGAAAAAGCCATCAAATTAACTGAAGAATGAATGTAAGAGGCCAGAGGGCCAGGAGTGCCCACATACAACAATTGTCCAAACACAATGACCTTCCATTTGTTTCCACTTAGGTTGAAGAAGTTAAAGCTTGTTGCTGTCTGTGTTTCTGGGCAATAAAAAGCAGGAATAGCTCTCAGTGCTACTCTGAACTGCATATATGTGAAATTCCTGAACAATTAAATTAAGTTTAATAATTGCACAGTATCTTCTTAATTTCTTAATTGATCTTGAATAACCCAAGACATCATATCGCTTTCAACCTAATCTATCAATTCTACAGTAGTGTGTTGAATTATGTTTGTTATAAATATTGATTAAATAGGTTATATTTGCATAGATTCTCCTGATACTCATATTCATCTAGCCAAAAACTGATAATAGCAATATCAGCTTCAAATTAACACGCTCTTAATTAAATCCAAAGTATCGTTATTGTACCTGTCCTTGAAGAAGCGTCGAAAACCAAACGCCACCAATTTCAGAGTAGCCTCAATGACAAAGGTGGAGGTGAAGAAGTAGTTGCAGTACTTCAGTCCGGTCTCCAGGGACTAAGATAGAGAGAAACAAAGTTCAAAGTGCATGAAGGTTAGAACAAAAAACTAAATAAACAGAAAGCAAAAGCAATAGATAGATCTTTGTCCTCTTTCTTCATCTAAGCTTTTAAAAAAAATAAAAACACATTTTTCACAGCACAAGCACTTGTGTGTCAACAGTGAGATGTTGTTAACTGATGTTCTTAAAATGTCAATACCAATAAAATGTTATGTTTATGTTATGTTATGTTTTTTTTTGTGAATCTATTCTGTAAATGTGAGAAATGGCTTTGGCAACGAATCTCTTTAAATAGAGGGCAGCTTAATTAAGACGGACAACAAGTATATTCAAACAAACTCTTAGTAAGACAGAAAATGACTATATAAATGAGCTGCTGATATTAGCATTATTAAACCCACACTGTAAACCTTGGTGAGAAGGAAGAACGAGTACGTTTTTAAGTGTGTCTGCAGTACACAGGTAATAGTTTTTAGACCAGTTCCAATCAACCGACATTCGACATATGCATAAACACTCACTGAACATAATCCCACAAACTATGGCAGTGGTTATGCCGATAAAGTCTGATCAAAGTCAAGCTTTGATTCTTGAGATCGTCAAAGATGAGAACCTGTATCCAGCTAAACAGTTTCACAAAGTCTGCTGAGGACTGAAAATAGGAAAACATGATTGACGTTATCTTCATGTTTGTAATTTCTACAAACTTTCCCATCAGCAGCATGTTAGTTTAGCTCAAAGGCTAGCTCTTTGCTCCTTACAGCATTTTACAGTGAGGAACCAGCAGTTGTTACGGTTTACAGTCTTAATGTTGACTAGGCTAACTAATTCCTAGTTGTAGCTTCAGAGCTCAGCGTGTGAGTGACATCAATCTTCTCATCTAACTCTTTACAAGAGAGCCAGTTAGCATAATTTCCTCAAAATACTGATCAATTCCCAAGAGTTAGCCAGATGAATTAAACTAGTTAAGCTAGCTGAACAAGATAGAGTGCTAATTTTCTTCCCCTGATAAGCTTAAAGCAGCAACACAAACCACCATAAGAGTGTTAGAACTAGTATCTTACACGTCAGCGGGCATTGGGCTTTAGTCCAGTGTTATTATGTTTGAGAACCTGTGTCTGACTGAAGCCTGGCACGTGTGGGCAGTACTCTTAGAGATCATTGGCAGCTCAGATAGGTGTTGATAAGGAAAGTCAGTATTTGTAAAAGCTGGTATAAACAGACCTAAAATATAAAGCAAACTGAAATTAATGAGCTGTGTAGGCTGCATATGCACAGCCTGTCAGAAAAGCTGCTAACATGTTATATCCACAAAGCAAGCATAATGCCTTTTTAGATGAGTAAAGTTTCAATTCAACCCTGAGAGCCAGCAACCTCCAGACAAAACAAGTCTCAATCAGGAGAAACAATGGAAACACTGTTGACTTAATAATAAACTAATATTTCTCCCACAACTCAATTGACAGCTTCTTTGTATTCTGTAGAGGCTTATTCAAGCAATTCCATTTCCTGCAAAGAAAGTACTGTGATTATCATGCAGGAAATACATTATAGATTATTCTATTTCAGTCTTGTGCAGACAGCAGATGATGTTTTCTATAATTCAGGAAGACTATCCTCCTTAGCTGTTTGAAATCACATTCAATGATTTTGAGGTAATACAGAGATATTGTAAAAAAAAAGTCTCCTTTTTAATTCTACTTTTAGATTTCTCATATTCCAAGCTCTGCAAATCCTGACACACATGTCCCCAGGAGGACAATAAAGTAACGGAATCAAGTTTTAGTAGTTTGGTTTACCGCTGTCAAACTACACGCCTGTTTTAACTCAAAGTGAATTCTTCCTGGCCTCCAGAGCATCTCCGCCTCTGAGAAACATTTTACATAACTAATACCCCAATCTGCCAGACAGTTTGTATTCCAGCACGTGGATAAACATTTTGGTTTTTGGCTGTTTTTGCTGCTGATTCAGAGCAGCAGGTTGGCAGCCTGCCTCCGGGAGTGCCCACTTCTAAAAAACTCAACCCAGATGGTGTATCACCACCCACTCAGGAGCCCTTCAACAAGTCTACTGGATCTGTCTGACTACAAACACCCACAGCCTGATCATCCCTCCATTGCCATTGGTAAGCCTGTTCACCTGTGGCTGACTGTAGTGCTCCAGGGACATGGTGATCACATTGATGCAGATGATAAAGGTGATGACCAGATCCAGGTAGTGGCTGGTACACAGAGTGTGGATTGCCAGGCGGGCTGGACCGTAGGATGCATAGTATGGCAGCTTTTGGGCCTCTGGAGGGAGAAAGAGCAAAGATGGAGAAGAGATATGAGAAGGAGGAATAACACAGATTTTGATTGGTTAGAGAGCAGCAAATAACGTGAAGGTTAATGGACACTAAATGTTATTAAGATTTCAAGAGGAATGGACTGGGAGGAAATGAAAGCACAGAATAACGAAAAAAAGGTGTTTAAAGGAAAATGGGCAAATAAAGAGACATAGATATGTGTTAAAAAGTATTAAGAACATTGAGAAAGAAACAATGCAAGATGAAAACTTAAGTTATTTTTTTGTTCTTCAAAAGGCATGAAAAAACGAGGGGCAAAGCAAAAGAAGAGTCAGTTTTTGTAACAAGGGCTGTCACGTTAATTGCAGTGCAATTAAGTTGGCATGTTATTCTGTCCCTCTAGGTGCACGGCAGCATCTAGCTATTGTCACAGATTTGGAAAAGAAAGACCAAGTTCAAATATACAAAATCAAAGCCTAACACAATTCTGTTTTAAATGCACAAGAATAGAATTTTAAAATATAAAATTGTAAATGTGAAAAATCATGATTTACTATTGAAATTTAGGGATTTGTTGAGATGAAAAAGTGAAATCGTTTGACAGCCCGAGACTAGACTTATGCCATTAAGATTTGAGAAAGGCAGAGGCTTACAAAGTTTACTTTACCCGCTTATTTTACATATCAACTAAGATGCTGGATTAGAACAGGTTAAAGTAACACATTAATGAGAGAAGAAATAGGTACTTCGTATATACGTTTGTATTCTTCATATTTAATCAATTACTGTATTCTTCTCTTTCCATCCATCCTCCATCCCATCTTCACTTTTCTCCCTTCTTTACTAAACATCAATTTCTCTTTTTCATTTTAACCCAGTTTCCTTCCTAACCCCTCTACCTTTGCTTTTGTTTCATCTTTCCTTTCATGGCCTTTACAGCCTCTATTCCTACCACACTTCCCTTTCTGCTTGTTCCCCTTGATCTTACTTCTCCTCTTCTTCTCCATGCGTCGCTGGCGTTTCTCCTCTCGACGCCTGGCCTCCTCCACCTCCTGATGCTGGCGACACTTGTGGAAGTTCTCCACCACGACGCCCACGAACATGTTGAGCACAAAGAAGCTGACAATGAGGAGGAAGGATATGAAGTAAAGCAGCATCCAGGGGTTGTTGTTGGTTGTTGGCTGAAGAAGGGGAGGGGAGAGTAGGGAGAAAATAAATGGGAAGAAGAACAAAGATTTAGAGTTAAAAATGTCTAAAATGGAAAATAAATAAATACATTGGGCTTTCAAACCAAACAAGGTAATAAAAAAACACACAGTAAGCTAAATGGAGTACCTTGTTTAATGTATGTGTATACAACAGTTTGTACTATAGGTCTTTTTTTTGCCTCTTTTTAGGAAACAAGAGGTATTGTATGTTTAGCATCTGCTTTAATGTTCCCTTCAACAGTTGTTGAAGATACCTTAGCTTCTGTTTTATGGTCTCTTTTTTTCCATTTCTTACATGTGGTGAATGAATGAATGAACACATCATTTTGTGGCTTTGAATTTCAAACAATGTTGAATTTAACACAGAGAGAGACTGCTTTGTAAATGTTTAGAGGTTTTCCACCATAATCTAATTAATGTTAAACACTACCAAAAACAATTCTAAAATAAAAAAACAAGACAAAATAAAAAACATGTGGGTGAGAACTGGCGTAATTAGGTTTATTGCCAATTAAGTGTTGACCTAGCAAGACAAATGTTTTTTTTTTCATTGCACAATGAAAAAAAACATATATAATTTATTTTTAATTCTACAGTAGAACGGATTAGGTACATTTGAAATGGTCCACAGTTATTTAACTTCAAGTTAGCTGCATGGTGACCTGTCAAGATGGGCTCCAGGCACCCATCACCGAAGAAGGATAAGACAACCTTTTATCCTATTTGTAGTCATCTTTCCAGGAATGTATTTTTAATTGGAAAAGATCAAACCAGATAACTTATATGACTAAGGCTGACTGAGAAATTCAGATGATTATATCTCAAAGGTAACTTTAAAATATCAGTTTATTCATCAAAAAATGTGGATTAGTTATCTTTGTCATAAATTTAATAAAAATAATGGCAAGGGAAATATTAATTATGTTAAATTGAGCTCATAGTCTTCCAATTAACAAAGCCCATCCACAGTCAGTGCAGTCCAGAACTCCCCTTGTTAAAAAGGATGACAGGGGAACAGAAGACGAGACAGGGAAGGGAGACAATGTGAGAAAAGATGGAAATGACTGGATGTGGATGCAATTATTTCAGAGAGTCATTACAAAACCAAAATGAAGTGCTGAAAATCTGATGTGAGTCAGATCTTTTTGTCGGAGGAGGGTTGAGTGTGGAAAGCACGGGTCGGAGTTCGAATGGGATTAGTCATTCAGAGCCATGTTGGACTGCAGCGAAGTCTCTCCCTGAGGCAGGAAACTGAATCATCCAGAAAGATGCCCTCTCTCTCTCTAATATATATTTAGATAAATGTAAAAAGAATTGAATTTGACCTCAAGTGTGTGAATGTGTGCAGGATTTGTCAGGTAAAAGGAAACTTTACTGACATCAGGAACTTCTCTGTATCACTGCATTGTTCTCTTTAGCCTTAATCTTGAATACAAAGACTGTGTCTAAACTTTCTTGCAGCTAGTGAGTTTTCCAATTCTGTGCAGTCAAGCTCCGCCCTTTAAAGCCTCTTATTATCAATCTACTCAATGAGCTTAGAAAAGGAGTTTGCATTTGATGTTACGATTGAAGCTGACATCATAAAGCAGGGTTGTTGCAGTATCCAAAAGTGTTTGACTGATGCATTGTCATGAAATAGAGCCAGTTTAGCATAATTAGGAATATGGCTGAGTTGACTAATAGGTGTGCACATTGTAGAGCTTCAAAACTCTGCTTCAGAAACCGCTGGGTCACTGGATGCTCTGTCCATGTTTAATACAATAAACTATGTTTGTGTGTTTATTTACGTACATAAAGTAAGCGACATCATTACTTTCAGGAAGTCGACATTGAGTCTTGGTTTCACTTTTCTCCTTTATGGCATTATTGTGTGTGCCCTCGACCACCTTCCCAACCTGACCTTATTTCTCTTTATTCTTTGTCACCTGACTTCCGTCATTTCTCCTGTCGTATTTACAATGCACATCAGCATATGTATAAATGTCAATGTGAGTGATAATCAGCTGTGTCACGGACAACCATATAGTTTTACTTTTGGTTTCAGAGTCAAAGAAGTTAGGATAATGCTATCTCCAATGTGCCGTTCTGAAGACCCATATTCAAAGTCACAGTGAACGATTTAAAACATTTTGCAATCTAAATATTTCAGCATTTTTTTTTTGGACAGTCTTTCCCTGAAGGAGTTTTCTCAATGATGGAAAAACAGAGTTGGACGGAGAAGCCCAAACCTTTGCTCCTTTATCACCTCTGCACAGCTCGACAACTATGGTGTCAAGGGATCATTATATTAGATTACGAGTTTTGTTGAGAGAGTTGTTGGACAAAGCCTCTTTATCATTGGTAGGCGTGATTCTAGTTAGACTGACACAGCAAGAAGTTTTGACAGTTGTTTTGAGGGATTAAATCACAGCAACGGTCTCCCAGCTGAAATCTCAGACCACAAGATTATCCTGTTTTAATGTAACATTTAGATGAAGGTAAAGAGTGGATATTCATTAACCAGTAGTGGAAACTGCTTAAGATGGTTTGAGGATCTGATCAGCATGTCTCTCTGTGGAGGAGTTTATAGGAACATCCAGCTGGGTGGAGATCCCAAGTGAACAGAAGGACAGAATTCTTCTCCCATCTGGCCTAAGAACGCGTGGGATTCCCCAGAAAGAGCTGGAGGATGCTGCTGGAGATCCAGGCATGAAGCCCACATGACTCATTTTGCAACTTCAAACCAGAACCAAATAAGCGGTGGAAAAAAAAAAAGGATGCCTACAGAGTAAGTCAGCAGTTTGAGACTTTCTGTGTGTCAGCATGTGACTAAGAGGGACACACAGGTTTGTAGCAGTGTTTGATGCACACTGCAGTTTGTGTCTGGTGTTACCTGCTGGTCTATCCCCACTGCATCCAAGCCATGGTACATGATGTTGACCCAGCCATCTTTTGAGGCCAGCACAAACAGAGACATGAGAGCCTGGGAAACAAACACATAAATATAAAGTATGATTTAGTGACATAAATTAATATGGTACCAGTGTCTTTAGGGTTCAGCAAAGCAAACACATTGTATTTGTTTCAAACAAGCTGCGGGACTTCAGACCCTTCCTCTTTTGGACTTTTGCCACAGGTAAATCATTTATTTATTGAAGTTGTCCTGGTGGTTTGGTTTTGTATTACTTTTAAAACTCTTCAGGGTGTGATTTCCACATAAGCCATTTACAGGTTTTTACCACATAAACACACACACACACACACACACACACACACACACACACACACACACACACACACACACACACACACATGCACACGCTTTATGTTTCCTTCATGTGGCTTCAATTTTGTATATTCGTTTGAATTGACTATTTAATACATACAAAAAACATCATTATTGAAAGACAAAATGAAAATATGAACTGTGTGTTTTGGCTTCTTATTTGTGTTATGAGTTAGACTTAAATAAACTCTAAGACTGCAATATGAGGAAATAGATTTATCTGTCCAGAAAGTATGTCTCCTATTTTAAGCCGTGATAATACATTCACCAACAATCTCCTTGTAATGATGTTTCCTTGACCTTTTAGCGCCCTTCAACATGAAGGACTTCACCAGTGGTTATCTTTGGTTGTCCTCCCCAACTAATTGTAATCTTCAACTTTCATAGAAATCGTTCTTCTATATGCCGTTTTTTTATATAATTATTGTTTTTGTTTTGTTTTTATTTCCTTAAAAAACAATCCTAGCTTATTTTTGTAAATAAAAACCAATGCACTGGCACAGGACTTTGGCCAGAGACACCATATTTAATTCAATCAACAAGAACAGAAACTGTAAAGGTCCAAATTTTCAGCTTGAATAATCAAAAATACACGCATTCTTTAAAAAAACACAATGATTTTCACTTTTTAGAATCTTTTTTTTCCAGATGTTGAAGCATTCCTTGCACAATTGCCCATGTGTAGTTCACTAGAATTTCTGTCCTATAGCGTTATCTTATTATATTTGTGTCTTTATGAGAATGTGTGCAACGTTGTTTGTGTTTACATCCAGAGTGAATATGTTTCAAAGAAATCCAGACAGGTTGTGTTTTCCTCTCTTGTACCTGTCCAAGGTTGTCAAAGTTGTATTTGTGGTGAACCCATCGATAGTTGGCAGCCAGACAGTCGGATTTGTTAGTGATGTTCTTCACGTCGAATCCCACACAGTAGAAGAACTTCCCTTTGAAGAGCTGGGAAGGAAAAACACACACAGGGAGCGAACTGAGAGACAGAGGCACACACAAATACATTTTGATGAAGTCATAACAACTCTTGTTTTTTAGGAGCTTCTTTCATGCAGATTTTGAAGGAATTTCATAATTGGCTTCTGCAACAAGTGTTTGGTTGAAGTCTCACTCAAACAGCACCTCATATCAACAGTGTGTTTGTTTTGTTCAGAGAGAGGAGGTTTTAATTTCCGATCAATGTGAACACATCAAAGAGGGGATGGTTAAAAATAATGCAGTGTTTATATTGAAAACTGGATGCAAACAAGACTGCGGTGATTAAATGAAAATAGCAGAAACCTAGTTAGCTGTATGTTTGCTAGTCCTTTAAACTTGCCTGCACTACTATAGAATGTATACGTTTCTAATGATGTATCCTGCTTTGTTGATACTGCTAACACTGACACTTTCAGAGTACATAGAGAGAAGTTAATTTAATGAGACACTTTTGACAGTAAAATGAGGAGGCATACTGAAGGAAAATTGAAACTGACATGTTTTATGTAAATGTAATACAGTTTATCAAAATGTACAGGATATAAATATTGTTGAGTATATACTATATTTAAGTAAATGTTCTTGAAAACCATTGTTGTAAGAAATGGATAAACTTCTGGGACTCAGAAGCACCATAATTTGGTAGGGCGGCTTTGGCTCAGTTGGTATAGTTGGTCGTCTGTCAACCAGAAGGTCGGAGGTTCAATCCCCAGCTCCTGCAGCCACGCGTTAGATGCAAGACACTTAACCCCAAGTTGCTTCTGCTGCTCTGTCGGTGGGGTATCAATGTCTATGAATAGGATCAGTTACTTCTGATGGTCACTTTACATAGCAGCCTCTGCCATCAGGGTGTGAATGTGTAGGTGTACAGTGTAAAAACACTTTGAGTAATCAGAAGACTAGAAAAGCGCTGTACAAGCGCAAGTCCATTAAGCATTTACCTATCCAACCTTGAGTCCCAAAACTCAAATTAATACCAATATGGACAGTACATTATTGCCAATAAATTATTAGTTAAGATGACATTCTCATGTAAAAGACATAAGACATGGTGAACATATGGGTTACAACTTCAGGTCGCATTGTATCAGCAAAAGATTGACTACCATAGGTCCCACACAGAACCTATAAATCCCCCCTACACCTCCCTAAAGGGTTTTGATATCTCCTGATTAAGTAGAGATATTCATCAATTTTTGACAGACATTACCTGAACACCTAGAATGCCAAAGATGATGAAGAAGGCACAGCAGATGAGGACGATGTTGCCAATGGGCTTGAGCGACGTGATGAGGGTCTCTACTACCAGCTTGAGCCCTGGAGCCCTGCTGATCACCCTGCAGAGAGAGCGAGAGAGAGAGAGAGAGAGAGAGAGAGAGTGAGTAATGAACAGATAGAATAGTGAGACAACGACATGGTTGTTTTTAAGTCACATTTTAAGTCTTAGACTTGCTCTTACATTTGAGTCATCATCAAAAGCAACAATAAAAGTGTAGTTGTGTAGCCTGATTTGATGCAGCAACATTTTCCACTTCTGGTGGTGTACTCATTTCAGTATTTGAGAAAGACTGTGTAGGATCCCATGGTGCATTAATAGTTTCTATTGCTTTATCAGGTCATGCCGGGCACTAAATGGTTAAAAACACTGGCTTAAAGCAGGAGGTCACAAGACAGAGCCAAGGTGTCATGTACAATTAAGTAGTTTTGTTTGACAAATAGGGTTAAGTTATGTATTAGCTTCTTCAGTTATCTGATTTTATTGTAAATTTGGCCCCTTCGATGGTGTTAACAGTTATCCAAATGGAACAGCCCAAGAGTGAATATTCAGTCATTTCTTTAACTGCTCAAAACATATGCATAATGTCTGTGACAAGGGAAGGAAGTTAGTGTTTGTTTTGGGTCATAAGGGATAGGGGACACTCTCTTCAACCATCTTAATATTACTTTTATATCTATAGAACTTTAGAATCCCATTTAAATTGACACACTGATTTTAATCAAAGCAACTTCTACACAATTAACATACGTCTCTTGTATCCCTGCATTCATATTCCTGCTTTCTCGTTATTTACACTCTGGTTGATTGATATCTTTAAAGGTGAAGTTGAACATTAAGAGAAATGTGCTTTTTAACTTTAAATTCAAGAATTACATAAAAACATTTAAGCCACTTTCCTGTCTGTATGGAAATATTGAGCTGTGTACAGTTGATTTCCAATAAGCTAAGAAAAAGACAGGCTACCGCTAACGAGAACTAAAGCAAGTCTTCAAAAACCAACACCTCTAAAATGTAATAACTGTCATGTTATTACTTTTATTTTATTCAGTATTAATGACATGATGCAAAAATTAGCTTCACATTAGAAACTAAGAGAATAGGTCCAATTATACACAGTCCATGGCTGTTAGAGAAACATGACATGTTTGATCTCCTTACCTGAGGGGACGTAGCGTCCTGAGTAACCTGAGAACACGGAGAACCCCCAGGATCTTAGCCCCGCCCGCCATCGACACCACAATGTCAATCAAGGACACAAATACGAGGAAACCATCAAGGATGTTCCAGCTGCTCCTAAGATAGGCTTTCTCCCCAAGGTACAGACCCATGGACACAACCTGGAGAGAGGAAGGGAGAGAGATTCAGAATCCAACACAGGTAATGCACAAGTGGCTAGGCAAACACACACACACACACACACACACACTCTCTCTCTCTCTCTCTCTCTCTCTCTAATATTGTGATTCCTTATTACAGTAAGCATCTCAAACTAGTTTTTCATTTCATATTAGCTGCTGAGAGGAGAGAGAGGAGAGGAGAGGAGAGGAGAGGAGAGGAGAGGAGAGGAGAGGAGAGGAGAGGAAAGGAGAGGAGAGGAGAGGAGTCATTTGAACATTTCAAAGATGAAAGTTATAAATACAGATGGAGGAGAGGTGTGTGATTGGCTGAGAGTGTGCTATATTCAAAAGAGTTAAATTGTCAGGGAGATTAAAGGAGGGAAGGAGGGGAAGACAAGAAACAGCCCCTAAACCCTGATGAGAAATTGAGTGTTCAAAGGAAAAACAGACGGGGGAAAGAGTAAAGGAAATGTAGAGGAGGGAAAAGGAAAAAGACTAGTTTAAGGCAAGGGAATCTGCTCCATTCTTAGGGAGCACTAGAAATATTTTCAGTGAGTTAAACTTCATGCTCTTTTAATATAATGAATCCCCAGCGAAACAAAAGTCTGATGGATTTGTTTGTGCAGTTAACCACCTTTTCTGGCATCAAATGTTGCTGACTATGACGAAAACTAAGTGAAAAGTCTGTGATTAAAACCTAAGAAGAATCATTCAAGAAAAAGCCTCTGTTTCAAATTCAGTTAAGATCAACAGTTTGGACTGCTGATATCACAATTCAGAAGTACCTCCAAATCCTCTTAAATCAGAAACGTTCACTTTACACTATAAACTCAGGAGCTGTTCAAGCATGGCTGAGAAAATATCATGGTGTATGTTGTTGTGACCAAAGCTGTAAACATAACAAGGCCAAAGTTAAATGTGAGGTCGTACTCACTAGTCGAACAGTGATGGGAATTGAATCAGAAAGGGACAAGGAGAAGTAGATTCTTCAGAGAAAATGGCTGAATGAGGTGGAAGAAGTCAACAATTTTGTGGAAACAGTGAGACAGCTATCAGAGAGAGGAATGAGAGGTGGAAGGAAGGGGCGGAGAAGAGAGTGAAGAAGAGCTCTCAAATAACAAATAGAAAGTTTTGCGAAATCAAACCGTTTCAAGGTTTGTAGAAAAAGTTACAGAGCAGATATTTCGAAGACATCTGCTAGGAGCTTTCATGGTAATAACAAACTGGTGTGTCTGTCATGTCATGTTGAAAGAGAATTGTCAGAGACGCATAGAGTTTGTGTGTCAAGTTTGGCAGAAAATGGCACTAGAGACATTGTTGAAAACTATGGAAAAATCTGGCAATGGTTAAATTGGCGGTGATGGTGATGATGCATGTATTTGGGAACGGGCCCAAAACATAATGATAGTACAATGCTACAGAATGAGCCACTAAAATGTGTCTATGGTGCATTAGCAGTTAGAAACCTGTAGACATGGATGTAGGCTCTGACAACCTTCCAGCTTGCAGCTCTATGATCTATTGTATTTGCAGAAATCACAATCGACCCAGATTTATCATTGCAAACATAAATCTGTTTGAATTCATCCATAATGAGTTCAGAATAGTCCACTTCTCTTTCATTGCGACGTCATCTACCATCCTGAGAAGAATCAATAATAAAGCTTATTCCAGAGGAGTTGTAGCTGTCGTCTTAATAATGTGTTCACTGCAGCTTTATTGTGAAGATATTGTGAAGATGAAGTAATACACACAATACTGTAGATGATTGAATTATTCTACAGAAGGGGTTTCCAAAGACTCTATAGACAATCTGATACTAGTGGGCCACTATTGGAATCTGTTGTAACTTCTGTAAATCCAACCAGTGGAGTGGATATGGTGTCCTTTGAGGCAAACTTTCATTGCCACTTTTAAAGTCTTCAAGGGTCTTCAGACCAAAAGAGAAAGGAATTTTTAGCGCAGTGATTACATACAAAGTTAATGCCATGTTTATTGTTTCCTGAGATTGCATTAAAAGACAAGGTAGCTACAGGATTGTCTAAAATCAAGCATCTTTACAATTTCCTGTTGTATTGTGGACAGACCTGACAAAGCATGATATTTGTGTACGTTCTTCAAGTTTTAGCTATTTCTGCACGCAATTAAATCACAGCAAGATCTGTTTATTTGGGGTCTGTACTGCCTTAGTAAGCCACATCGAGCCAAAGTGTGATTGGAACTCAATGCAAACAGATGAACATGCGCTGCACAGCTCCACAGACTCTTAATTGTTATTCCAAATTGGGAATATCAGGAATTTGGATTGGTAATTAGAACTTGTAAAAAAAAAAGGACAGCAAATTAATGCAAAGTTTGTTTCTAGTATCTGTGATGAATCAATCATTGTATGCAATGCAACAAAAGTAGCTCATTCAGATTTAAATTGGAACCAAAATAGGGTACCAGAACAAGTCTCTATTTTACCATAAGTGCAGACAGTAAGTGAAGACAGCCTTTATAGCTAACTATTGTAAAGGCATTCTTAGAAAATATATCCTTAGATTCACTTGATGTTCCCCTGTTACATTTTAACCTCCTACTTTGTCCTCTTCACTTTCACAAAATACTTCTAAAACATTGCTGGAAACCCTGAACAGCATATCCTGTTGTGAACAAACCTGCATTGCTGTCTCAGCTGTTACTCAAAATGAGAAACTTGCAGCAGATAACAATAACTATGCCAACTGTTGTCAGGCTGTCCTAACTATATAGATATAACGTAGAACCTGGGTGTACAGCAGTGACAGGAAAAGAAAATGGGATGAAATTACATGAAAGAAAACCAAGGCAGCATGATAAGACTACGATAAGGAAAGAGATAGACACCGATGTATCCAAAATCTTCCAAAGTTGTCATTCTGTAGAAATCTACAGAGCTCTGTTTAGAAAGAGATCATCTTTCCGTGCTGTCTGACAGTTAACAATGAGAGAGAACTCTGACTGTGAGAATATGTTTTATCTGTCTCTAAGAGATCTTCATAGCAACAAGTCACTGTCAGATTCTATACAACAGGTCTTTTGTCACCTTTTGACAGCCTGTACATTTGATTATAAAACAACTGCTGTATTAATTCATAGCTTTCAGGGACGTCATCAGCGCGGAGGGCTGGAGGGCAAAAAACGCCCAGGAAAGTAACGGCCACCGTTGAAAACCCTGTAGAACTGCAGCACAGGCTTTTAATTTAACATCTCCTATAAACGACACACGTTTATATCACCTGACAACCATAGCAAAACCAAGATATTAAGATAAACTTTAAGTTTGGGGCAGTTTCGATACATTAACAGCACATGGAACACTATTTATATCGCTAGAAACGGCGAAGTCCATGCCAGTGTTTCAGTTAAAAGAGTTACCATGTTAACTGGTGACTGTCAGCCGAGTGAGTCTGGTTGTCGTACGTTACGTGTCCTAACGAAAGCCTATTTGTTTAGCTTTCATTTAAACATATCTCTTAAGTAATTTTGACATTATGATAATACAAAAACGGAACAAAGAGGCATTTGTTAGGACACTTTCAGTCGCGTTTGTCTGAAAGTCATCAGTTAACATGGTCACTCTTTTCACCGTAACACCAGAACGTCACTTCAGTGATATTGCTGATATTTAGAGGAGAATTTCTCTTCTTACACCGCTGTAGGATGAAATTCTAAAAACATACAGGCAGCTTTATGTATTATTGATCGGTCTGGGTCGATAATGCTGCTGTTTGAGAAGTGAAGGGCAAGAAATTCCTCATCATTCAAGCATCAGTGAGTGCTAATTAGATAACATTAGCTAGTTAGTGTTAGCTAGCGATACTATCAGGATAGTATCAGCTGTCAATGTTAGTGTCCTGGGTCAGTATTTTGAGTTAACGGCAGGAATATTTAGCTTTAGTCAACACAATAGTTGATGTCAGGATGAGGAGATATCCGATGTTTCCCCTCACAGGGGAGGGTCTAACTGCAGTAATCCACAAACTTCCTCCTTTCTGCTTTTTTCCTCGGATTAAATTTTGTAGAAGCAAAACTCGGGCTAGTCTCCTCGTCGGTTAGTGTATCACAACAACTGTATTTCATTTGAAAAATTAAAAATAAAACAGATAAAAACACGTAGGGGGCAACTGAGACCAGTAACTTCTCAGTAGCGTACAGTGGTAGAGAGCCTTTCTTGCCCTCCAGGTGGTCGGTTCCATAAGAGTGTGATGTCACGTGAAAGCTATACTGAATACAGCTGGCTGTACTGAAGGCCCACTGGTACTACTAATGCCGTTGGGCCTCCGTTAGACAGATCAAATATTACCATGATACCACATAATGCATGGGAAATCAATAGCAGGTTGATGCCAGCGCTGTCATCAAAGCCTGTTCCTCGTCTCTCACACTAAGCCATCCTGTGGATGAGAGTGCAAGTGTGTCACATTCAATTCCAGTTGAAATTACATTCAAACCCCATTTGTAATATCACTTTGCAGGAAAGGTGGCAATTATTGTTCATGTCGGTTCAGGGTTAGTTTTGCAATCACATGTTTAATATTGGGTATTTGAAAGATTACATTGCCAATAATTCATTTCCAATCAGTGTCTTTTGTACCCTTTACAGCAACACTTTGGGCTATGAGTTATATTTTCTGTTGAAGACTATTTGATTTGTACTGTCATGTTGGATGAGTAGGTCTATGATGCAGTACTATGTCAGCAGCAACTTCAGTTTTCATCCTACGCCCTGTGTATATTGAAGTTTGGGGAACAACACACCACATTGGTTAAGGTTAGTGAAGTTTTTGAGTCAGTTAAATGATTTATAACAAGCACAAACTGCTCATTTGTCATTTCCATAATTATCTTTTTATATACTTTCCATAACGTTACCAAAAGTGTCTTTTTGCTGAGAGGTTCATTAAAAGCCTGTTCTCAATACATCAATTCAAAATGTAATGGATTATTTATCAGCACTCAAGTATAGGTTGGCTATTATCATGCATCATCTACTATCAGTTCAGCCGGAGTCAACATGCTTAGAATTGATGGTATGAACTTTTACAAGATACAATACACAGGTTTAAACAGATAACATCCCATCTTTGGGGTCTCATAAAAATGTACAAGTTAGTGTCTGATCCAATGTCTGTTTGCTTTAAAGACTGAAAAAAAATAAGGAAAAAGGCAAATTGATGGCCAGCCTAGGTCAGGCATACACTGTGTCTTCAGGCCGCGTCACACAGCATCTGAAAGCACCACGACAGATATCTTGGCAGAAAATAACTGTGGACTTGTTACAATTTGACTTGCTAGCCAGCTTGTGTCAAAGGCAACTTTATCCAAGCCAGATTTAACATGAACAGTGTGAGCACTCGGGTTATGTTTAACAATCAGACTGTTAGCATATAATATCGTGAGCATTGTCTAGTGTTAAAGAACAGAATAAACAGTATTACAACAGTGGATGTGCTAGTTTATGCCTCAGGCTGTGTTGTTTAAATAGTGAAGCTTATTCTGAAATAGCATTTTTTTTTTTTTTTTGGGGCGTTTCTTTAGTGATAGGACAGTGGAAAGAGTCAGAAATCAGGGAGAGAGAGAGCGGGGAATGACATGCGGGAAAAGAAGCCACAGGTCGGATTCGAACCTGGGCCACCTGCTTGGAGGATTACTAACCACCAGCGCCCATGAAATAGCATTTTTAAAGGCCAAAAGAGGGCGATTCCCTTAGTTTAAAAATAAGTACAACTTCTGGAAATGAGAGGCGAAATGACCCTACTTCTCAGATAATTGAATTCCTCAGTAAACATTTTCTTCATCTTCAATACAGCATGATGTTCATAATGTAAATCAAGGTCCCATTTATAGTAAATATAGGGTATGCTTTTGGAAAGCAACCTGTGAGTGACAGATCTCTACAAAGGCTACTTGTCAAACAGGATACAGGCAAAGGAAATGCACACCAATCCCATTGTACCAAATATGGTCGGTTATGGTTGAAAAAAAACCTCTAACTCATGGCATCAAAAGGGGGCTCAGAAAAATCTAAGCTGAGACAAAGATTGGGAGACGGATGATAGCATATCTACAGTCTCCTGTTTATTTCTAATGGAAGATATTTGCTCAAGGTCAGACTCTCTTTGTGCAGGTTACACTGATCACTAAATAAGTATGTGTGTGTGTGTGTATGTGTGTGTGCGTGCGTGCGTGTGTGTGTGTGTGTGTGTTTGCATGTGTAGACAGGAAATAAGGTGGAGGCCTCTGTGATTGAGTGTGTCTCTGGGAGGAAACTCTGTTTAATTAGAGTCTCCTCTGAGAGGGATCAGACTGACCAGCAGATTAAGTGAGGGAGGGATGAGGGGATGAAGAGAGCAAACACAGAAGGAGGTTGAGACACAGGGATAATGATGTTGTTTATTTGGGCCTTGAAATAATGTGAGAAAACAAAAAAGCACTACAGGAGATCAACACCTTATTGCCACCAATTAATTTAATTTTTAAAAGAAAATGTCTGACATAATCCAGCCCAGAGATGCATTTAATAAAGTGTACATTCTCTTCTCACAGCAAGCTAACAAATGTATGAATCCATTAGTAAATAGATGATTTAATGATTCACCATTTTCTATAGACATTCACTGAAACACTTTGAGTTACAAGTGTTTCATGAAATAAGGGAGAAAGCACATTTGAGACCCACCCGTTTGAGGGAAATGTCACAAGCTAGTTTAAAAAAAGTAACATAAACGTGATAAAAGCACATAGATTTACAGGTGATTGTGACTGCTCATGTAGGGAGATCACAAGGAATGATCCTGGAGATGCCTCCCCTCATTGGTTTGAATTCAGGGATGTAAAAATGATTTGAATGTAAAACTATGGTTGTTGGTGTAGGTGTTCCGATAAGTTTGAGAAAGTTTAAGCAGCACTAATCATGCCTAAAGTGTATTTCAAGTGTCTCTTTAAATTGAGTTGTCCTTGTATATCCTGAGATTTTTAGGTAGAGGTCAAAACTTCTTTATAATTAATGATCAAGTTAAAAGCCTGTAATATTAGTCTTAAATTCATTTTCAATATAATGATGATGACAATGTTGATATTCTAAGAGGCCTCATCTGGGCCTGTGGATTTGGATGCCTTTTGGCGTCCATTTTTATTTTGCCCAGCAGCTGTGCTCTCATTATAAGCACTTGCATATTGAGTACATGAATCTCCATATCCTAACCGAGGGTGGAAAAGTTCCTTATGAAGACAGGATCTGATCCAAATTTAAAGTACACTTAGAAAATGTGTTTGATTTACTTTTTTATTTTATTTTAGGTCAGATGAACATAAGGGCAGTCTGTTTAATACATTTATAGATAACAAAAAACAACACTGTCACAAGTTTATTGAGACGAGCGAGTGTGCGAGTGCATGGAACAACTCGACTGAGAACAATCTCTTGTACAAATACAAGTGGAAGATGAGTCCCCTGGATTTGTGACGGTTCAATGACAGGACAAACACTTCACAAGATTGATTAATTGCAGCAGTCACATCTCACATTAAACAGGGAATGGATGTTTGGAGTCACAGTTAAAAGACTGAATCACTATTCCAGATAAGAAAGTGAACGGAGGGAAAGCACCGAGACCACATCTGAAGGAGGACTCAGATAACAACGGAGCTCAACTGATGAAATTACAAATGGGGGGACAAAAGAGCAGAGAAAACGATAAGAGGCGAATGAATATGAATTTAATCAAATGAGCGGGATGGAGACGATAACGCAAATGAAAATGCGAGTGATCGGAAGACTGATGGAAAGAATGGAAGTAAATAAAGATGCAAAGAGGGAGATGAAGCTCCAGAAGAGAAGAAAATAACAAACACAGCTTAGTTCAACCAGGGGCCAGATGTATAATATATATATATATATATAAGTATGTGCACAGTCGAACTCTGATCTACATATCATTGTGTTACATATGTCTTCATTATCCCCGGTCATAAATAAATCACTATAGGATTTCTACCAATGTGGAAAACGCCTGGAGACACACATCTCTTAATAATGGATGATGCCCTGTTCTCTGGATAGCAGATTAGTGGATTAAGAAGAGTAGTTAGTGTGTGTGTGGGATTGTGTGTATGTGTGTGTGTTTCAATGGGGAGTTCAGGAGTAGCTCTAAAGGCCAGCTGAAGAGAGATAACCTTGTAATTAACTGCATTATCTAGCTGCCCATCGCTAATGGAACAACTGCAACTGTTGCAGAATTGTCAGAGAGGAAGGAGGGATTGGAAAGGAGTAGGAGGACGTAATAGTGAGGTAAAATGTCAAAGAATGTTCCTATGAAAGGAATATTTCAAGATAAAAAGGAAGAAAAGGAATTAGGAATCAAGAAGTGAAACAAAAAGGAAATGGATAAGCGGGAAAAGGATGGGAGCAAGTAGACAGGAGCAGAAACAAAAGGCAGAAACAGAAAGAAACCTGACTGAGCTATAACAATACACTTACAGGATCGTGATTAAATGTATGAGTCTTACTGATTACTTTCCTATTTTACATACCATGCCATATTTTAGGAATGTTTGCTCACTGGATATAAGATTTTAGTAAACAGAGTTGTGTTAATAATGAGTTAAAAACAAGCTGAGCTGAAGTTATCTTCAGCTCAGCTCACAGCTCACAACGCTACACAAAAGAAAGAGATAGAGAAACATTGATTTTAAATAATAAACTTCCTTATTCAGTGTTTCATTAGTTAACCTGTGTGGATTATTTGGCTCACAGTAGAAACTTTCCACTGATGGAATAGTAACCTAAATAACATAGTCAACGATATTAGCCGTAGCTCAGCTTGTAGCCTCTACTGACACCCTGTGTCTACTTCAAAGGTTTTTGACACACTTATTTTTAACATGAACTCACTATTCAATGGGTCGTAATCTAAGGGTTGGGGGTTGTTTATTGGGATGATGAGACGTCACCAGACAATTTGGCTACAACTACATGAATGATGAACAATGCAATTCTGAACCTAAAAAAAGAGCTGTCATCAGCAGAAATATGGGATCACTGTGCCTCAACACTTTAACACCAATCTGCTTCAATCAGGTTTTTTTTAAAGCTGTTCTTTTTTGTATTCAAAAATATTTAATGAAATGAATTAAAGATGTATGACAGAGAAGTTTAGCATGTTTAAAAGTAAACACTGCTATTTTTATTACTGTTCTCCTTGTACTTTGTTTCAAGGTAACTCATGCTCAAGAAGAGGGATGAAGATGTGATGGAAAAAAGTACAAAAACAAAGCAAGAGTGACCAGCAGAAGAAAAAAAAAAGGGGGTAGTTAAGATCTAAAAGACTGAAACAAATAAATTAAAATATATTTTTTTTACCTTGACTGTCATCTCGGCCACAAAGATTGCAGTAAAGATGTAGTTGGAAATCGTGAGAAACACCCTTTCCTGCAACATAATGAGAGAGAACAAAAAAGTGAGAAAAACAAAAGGGCAGAGGTTTAAAAGAGGAAGGGAAGAACGATTAAAAGAGACAAAAGAAGAGGCAGAAACGCAGCTAGGGGAAAATAGGAAGCATGGCTGCACTTGGCACTTTAAAGCAGGATAGGAAAATCGACATCAGTTCAGCTCTTTTGCTTTACACTCCAGCATCACTTTTCAGCCTTTTTTAATTAAATGTAAAACCTTGTTGCCAAATTGAATGCCACATTTGAAATACTTGCTGTGCTTTTAATGTGAACGCATCAAAACACTTGATTTGAAAAGTGCTTACAACTCAATATTTTTTTTGCTACTCGATTGCCGAGAAGTTGTTTGAGGCCAGAACCCAGTGAGCACTTTGAGCGAAGAAAGAAAATTAGCATTTTGAAGTACATTCATTCATTGGAAGTAATTGCCGGCTGATAAATCATTTCGAGAAGTAATTAATTTTCCGAGGACAAGCAACAGCCTGTTCATGAGAAATTAAATATAGTGAGACAACCAGAATTATACTGAGTCTGCTCTCCTATGAAAGTTGTACTTAATAAATAATCTGGTCTATAGATCTATTTCTTCAGACACAAAAAAACTAGCAGTCTCACCTCAGACAACACTACTCGTATCATCACTCGTATCTTCTGCTAATAAACAAAATTCTAACAAACATATTTATTTTCTCGATTGTTTGTTCGACAGGTTGTTTTACACAAGTTATTTTAAAAATACATAATATTTCAATGTTGAGCCAGCACAGCACTGTGTCTAACACATGTTGCTAGTTTGTCATTCTGTAAGTGGCATGTGATGAGGGAAATTAAACAGTAGCTCTTACCAGACTTCCCTGCAGTATTCTGGGCCTCTCCAGAGCCACCGTGATGCAGTTGAGAAAGATAAAGGCCAGGACCACGTAGTCAAAGAGCTTATGGGCAATGATGGACTGGCAGAGCTGTCTGAACCTGGACAAAAAAGAAACAATACAGCCAGGGTTATAAGGGAACACAGAAGTAAACGGTGTGACTTGTTTAGGAAATCTTCCAGAATTTTCTGTAAATTGTTAAAAAATCAAATCTTTAGTAAGGTATCATTTAGCTCTGGACGAGTCTGCCTGAGGATCTGAACCCTTCTGGACATACAGGAAAAGTTAAGATCAACCTTTTGGACCTCACTTTAGAACTACAACAGTTTCTTCTCAATTCTTGACTTTATTTCACTCAGCGTCTTTACTGTATTTATATTTCATACATACTGTATATCCCATAGTCTTAACATTGCATTGACATGTGACATTCCATATTTTCCTTGCTCTATTGCTTGGCATGGCCAAAAAGCACAAATAAAGCACAAACAACTCTGTCCCGCTTGCAGGAAGTTTAAGAGGCTTAAGTGTTTATGTTGAATATTGGGGAAGTTGGTAAACCGCTTTGGAACCACATGTTGGTAACACATTGTAACAACCTTGGACTTAAAAAAAAAAAAAAATCAATTAGAAGCAAGGGGAACACTTTTCTTTTGGCAGAATGTGATGCTTTCATAACACTGCTAGAAGAGAATTCAAACATTAGTCACAGGTGTAACACATTAATGATGAAGGCTAATACAGAGGAGAAATATTGAGAACATTTAAGAAATAAATGACTTATGTTGCACCACTGACCAGCTGCAGATATGCTGCTTTGCACCCATTGACCAGACTCACTTGTGTGGCGACTACCACTGAATAGACACCCTCATACACCTGCAGTGTTGTTGTTAAACCTTCACTGTCAGAGCCAGTAAAGGCTGTAAGCAGCTCCTGAGTGAATCCCACACATCTTGTCTCCTCCGCCAGCGATACAGGGAGCAGAAGACACCTTCTGCTTCACCTGCTCTGTAGCTGAGGAAATCAATCCCCTAATCTAGCTGCTTTTCCACCAGACCTGGCAACCCTGTCCCTTTATCTATCGATTGAAATCTGGCAACCCTGTCCCCTGATATCGATCATGACTGGCGGCAGCGCTTGCGTCGGCACTTATCCCGCCTGAGACACACCTCAGGTTCTTGGCTTCTTTCTTCTTTTGTTTATTTGTCTCTCCCTTTAACTGTGCTTAGGTACAGTACACTTGCGACAGCGAACACCCACATAAACACACACACATATGCTCACTCACACACCAACAGCACACCAAGGTATAAACAAGGCAATCGTGGTGCATATGCTCACACTCTCCCACAAGCACATACGCAAAGTCATCCACAAACACATGCAGGAACATGCGACGCAACACTCTCAGAGATATGGTCTGACTTTAGTTCACACACATCGCCAACACACACAGCCTTTGCTTGACAGATGGCACCTGCCAGGATGCCAAAACACAGCCCTGGGGCCCGGCTTCCCTTAAGTGGCTATCAGCACGCGGGGAATCGGGGGAGTGAGCGAGTGGGTGACTGAGTGATTTTTCTCTTGTGTTGCTTTCAGGGCAGCAATGCATCGAAGGCTGAAAGAAAACATAATAATAACACAGACAAACACACACCAACATACATACAACTAAGAGCTCAGAGTCAATAACGCTGTCTGGAGAAGGAAAATATGGTTTTGACACAGTGATATCACTTTAACAAGCCCTTTGTGAAACCAGAAGACAGCAGCTTCCTCAGTGAGAACAGACTAATGGTTTGACTGAGCTTCCTGTTTGTCCACACTATCGGGACAGAGCTTGAAACAGAAGCTAACATTTGCTGTCAGTGCGACTGGTCATATTTGTCGACTCACATTTCCACACTTGTTTTTTGTTCCCTTCAAAGGTTAACAAAGGGGCATGGCAAAAAACCCTCTGCTACAGACAAATCACATAATAACAGAGCTACAGAGATTATGCTCTCTTTGTTTTCTCGCTGAAAGGTAAACTTTGTTAAACGTTCCTGGTTCATGTCCACTGACCTTTGCATAATTGACACAAGCTTTATGGTTTAACAGGTTTTTGGTTTATTGAATTGACTCTCTACAGGGTTGGAGATTGCCTCATGCTTACACTAAAGAAAACTGACTTAGTGGATCATTTAACACAAGACTAAGATTACAGACAAAAAGTTTTTTTGTAGGGTTTAAGATTTTAGAGACAATGCTTAGAGATTATCATAAAATATTGTATATACAGTAAGTGGCATCAGTATAGTACCAGCACCTGTCTTTGGGTGTCTCACAGAGATAAAAAAAGTTTACATTGCATTCACAAAATTCACAATGTTCTCAAATTCTACAATGTGTAGATGTGTACAGTAGCTCTTTCTAGTACCATTCGTTTCCCCCATGTGGAGTTTGCAATCCTGCGCGCTACCTGTACAGTAGCTGGGCTCTTCTTAAGGTAATGTTGACAGGGGTGAAGTAAGGACCCACAGCCAAACTATCCACCTCCGCTGGTCACCAGTCTTTAATTGAGGAGTCCTTTTTTTTTATTATTTGATACTTTCTTTTTATTGATATTTTCAGAGTAAAACAAGACAAAAGAAAAGAAGGGAATAAAAAGAAAGAAAAAGGTAACATGGGCCACTCATTAGTTAAAATACACAAATCAGGGTTTTTCAAAATTGAGGAGTCCTTTCAACAAAACTTAAACTCCATTAGTTGTATTTACTCAACAGTTTGCCACTGTTTTATTTCAATGCATGACTGTGTCTTAGTGGAGACGAAAAGGTATTAAAAAAAGTAGCGCTGCCAGTCTGGGCAGTGTTCTTAAGTTTCCCAGCAGGCTTTGCACAGCAGAACTGGCGCTTGCAATACACAATAAATGGGTGCAATTTATTTAATTACATCATGTGCAGCAGGTGTTGGTGGCAGCTGCACTTGCGGTCGTAACAGCACATGTCTTTGCACTTTCATACTGGTTTATTGGTCATCCCAGTATATAAGACACAGCCCACTTTTTTTTTAATGAAAATAATAAAGCACTTAAACTCGTCTTATATACTGAATTTTATGGTAAATTTGAAAAACTATAGAAGTCTTAAAAGTGAATACATGTATCATCTCTATTTCTACCCTAGGTGGGAGAAAACCTCCTTACATGATTTGATGTTCAGTATTTGACAGATGTTTATGTTGCAGGTAAAGTTGAAGGTTTCCACTCACTTGTTCTGAGGAGAGAACAGGTAGATAGACCACCCCTCTCTGGTCTCACACCAGTCAGGCTTGTACACCTCCATCATCTTCTGGATACGGAAACACAAACTCTGGGGGAGACAGGGAAAGAAGAGCAGATAGAGCAGGAGTTAGGAATTAGAAATCTTTTCCAGCAAATACATATTATCATTTTTCTTTTTAGCTTGTTAGTACATAGCATTAGAATGTTGCCCCACTATGATCATAAATGTATGTCTTCTTTAGTATCAACCAGTTTATCCAAATAAAGAATTATTAAATGTCTAATGCAAGCAGCGTCCCTGAACTAAGCCCTAAAGCTCCTCTCACATAAAGGACACCAATAAAAAGATACCAACAGCTAGATTATGAAGCTAACAGAACTAAATGGTACTGTATCATTAGGAGGTGATGCTTCTCCATTATTGCTGTTTTTATGGCATTGAAAATAAACGGAGAAGTTCAAGAGACTCACGTAATCTGTCTCGTCATCAAGGTCTGTTCTGTCCTTGCGTGGGTTCACCTGAGGGTATACTTCAGCTATCAAGTGAGTGTTTGGAAAAGGTGTCTTGCCGTTACAGTCACGGTGGTCCGTTCCAAATCCACTACCAGCACCAGACCCCCCAGTGATGGATCCCCCTGCCCCTGACCCACTCCTCCTCCCAGGTTCTAGGTGGACAGGGGGCAGACCAGAGGGTTGTCCTCCTGCCCGGAGCAGCTCCGGGAGCTCCAGGGAAAGAGCCCGTCGATCACTTCTTCCATGTAAGTGCCTGGAAAGGAAGAGCGGCGGTGGGGGAGGATGATGAGGAGGGAGAGGATGATGGGAGTGAGGTGGGTGGGAGAGAAGGGACTCCTGCTCGGCGGCATAGGTGTAGGAGTGGGGGGAGCGAGTGCTCTGAATACGAAGGCTGCCTCCCACCAGAGGAGCGCCACCGAACCCATAGCTCCTCCGACCCAGGCTGTTAGAGCTTGACCTACAGCGGAAAAAGTAATTAGCAGACATCAAATATTGATGAACAGGTAATAAATTATCATAAGAGAGGTAATCAATACCATATTATTACATATTATCTAAGAAATTAATCTATAAGCTAATAAGAAAATAATTAATAGTTAATGTTTAATGCTACCATGTTTGTCTATAAGTACAGTAAGTGGAATGAGGATATGAATCATTTATTAATGTGAAAAGTTGTCTACCTGCGGCTCCATGCAGACTGTGGATGTACAGGGCGCCCCCAGTTGTGGTAGTTGGAACTGCGACCATGGCGCTTAAATAGAAAGAAAGCAAATGTTATCATCTGTTTGTATACAGTAAAACTAAAACAAAGCACCATAGACCTGAGCAAAGTAGGCGGAAAGAGGATGTTGACATACACTTGTATTGATGATATAAGTGTTTTTCATATCATCATAATATCTGATCATTTTGTCCTATAATACTGGCAAAATTGATACTGAAACATAAAGGGCCAAAAAGCCCTTCATTTAAATAAAAAAAATTTTACCGAACATTTCATACAGTGTACAAGAATGCATTATTCATCAGTGCTATTAAAACTAATGTTTTAATTAAAACAATTATATTTAATACAGGTCAACTTTTACTCAGCAAATCATCATGAAACTTCCAAGATAGATAAAACAGTGTGTCAAAGTGCAAAGAAAGATGTTGCTTTTAAACTTAAACTTATCAAACATAAACCTGCACATGGACTTGATATTTAGCATACAGCTGGAATATTTTCATCACAGTGACGTCATTAGATGAGCCATTCTTTGATATGATCCTTTTGTCTTATTTTGTAGTAAGTCTCACGAATATGACCACATTGCCACAAAGAAGTCCAACGGGGAAAGTTTCATAAAGTATCAGATACCCCAGTTGTATAGAAAAATTGAGATTTACCAAATTTTGAAATATCTGCTTTAACAAGGAAACGAAGCTGCCATAGCTGTGAAATAGCACTTATAGTGTTTTTAAGATTACTTAAAAAAGCTTCATCATCATGGTCCCAGATTTCAGGCACACATCTGGTGAGAACAAAGTGAACACAGCCAACAGAAGTGACTGCAAAACTAGTTGTCTGCATTTTAAAATATTTTGCGGTTGCATTTAAGGACTCATTACTATACTATTCTTTTTCATGAATTAAGGATGGGTGCACTTCAATGCTTGTATTGGTCCCAACATAACAGTATTGTGCAGAACAAGTACTTGTCTTAAAACTTATCGAGAGTGAACCTGTGATCCAGAATGTCCTCAGATCCAGAATGATCTTGGGGCCACCATCTCCTTAAACATGTACGTGCACTGCAGGACTGCTGTATTCATATGTAGCTATAGGGGTTGATAATATATTAGTAGATAAATAAGTAAAATCACTGCAGTACACTGCAGGCTGTCATCAAGTTTAATAAGCAAACGCCTGAGTGCCAGTAACACTCAGAGGAACATAACCAGATCTGTTTGTTTCCACACGTCTAATCCTCTCAGCATGTCAGACATAATTATATGTTTTACCCCTGGAAACGTACATGTCAGCAGGCTCAAATATACCAGAGAAACCATGCATCCGTCTCTATAGAAACTGAGATGAAGCGTGGACGTTTGCTGTTAAATAACACTTCGGTCCTCACAGAAACTGCACTGCGGATCACTCAAGAGGAGGAGTGTGTGTGTTTAAGTTTGCGTGCTTCACAGCAAATATTTCTGTCTGGAGAATTTGTTCCCCACTGTACATATGAAACCACAGACAGCAGCTGGTACTAATGCACTTCATGTCATGTTGTCAGGCTCCAAACACACTAACAACAGCAACTTTCTTCTTATATTAAGTTCTGTAAATCTTTGCAGGAATGTAATGCGCCGCTGAGAAGGCAGCTTTAAGCACCAGTCAGTTAATGCAGTTTATTGTGTTTCATAACGTTATTGATTTCAGCCTGGGGGCAATTTTGTTAAACTGAACTGAGGCTTACTACTTTACTGAAACCAAATCCCACCAATGTCAAATTGTCTATAAAAAATATGGGAAGTGAAGTGATTGAAAGAAACTTGATGCACTGACTGGAGATGGAACTTGGATTCAGCGTTGTGGTTGAAACCTACATTCTTTCTAATGGCCAGCAGTTGCATAAATTGTACAAAAGGTAAACACATCTTTTCTCAGTTGTTTTACAACCGAAATAAATATCCTCCAGATGTGTTTTTGCTCTCTATTGCAAGTTTCCAGTTTTATTCAAACTAGCATGATTGTCACTTCAAGCAGGGGATGCTTTAGGCCATGTCTACTTGTCGTTGCTGCTGTGACATGTAGTCCAGGGTAGAGGTGTAGCAAAGCGTATCTATCCAGTCTTCTACACATGGTCACGTACGGCTTTTTCAAAAGATAGAAAAGCCAAATTCATGCAGTGGCTTTTAGATGAAACAAATTACAGTGAAGGGGGGGTTTTCAGGTATGATACACTGTGGGATCCATCCCCACCAGTTTAAATTGGCATGACGTGTCTGCTATGAGGACACCATGGCTAAGTTTTGTGTTCTTTGAGAGGACTTCAAGTTTTTTTTTAGGGAGCGGTCAATTACAAATGTTACTATTCATGAGATTTCATGAATAGTAACATGAATCTGTTTAACTTAAAATCTATTTTGCTTTTGTTTCTCTTTTGTTTGTTTGTCTGAATTAGTTATTTGTCTGAAAATAGAGCTACTATGCTTGATCCAAATCGTACTTTCTCCTGAAAGACACATATTTTAGGATAAAGTCTAAATGTTCAGTATAAAGGATACCATTTTTCACACCTTTTCAATTCTGACATGAATAAAAATTGTTTTTACAAGTTGTTGGAAAAGTGATGGCTCTGTAGCACATGTCATAAGAATGAATAGTCTGGCATCAGTATGGTTATAGAACATTCTGAAAAGTCTGTATAAGAATGTGCAGGTCAGTGGTTAAAAGTGTGAGAGTGTACCAGAGACAGGGAGCGTCTCTCCAGGCTGCCCTTGCCCAGGCTCATCATGCTGCTCTTTCTGGACTCAATGGTGAAGCTCCGCCTCTGATGAGTACGATCCCCTTGGCCCAGAAAGAGCACCCAGCTCCAGGTGACCATTGGGTGTCAGTGTGCAGATCCTTGGGTCTATGGGAAGTTGGAAAAAAAAGAGCATATGCAATATATAAAATGTATTAACTTATATATTATCCATTTTGGTGTCCACCAAAGGAATTAATTATTCTCAATTGTTAGACATCATCTAGCTGCTATTTCAGTTTCATCCTCGACACTTTTTGCTCAACTGCTATTTCACCTCGATTTTCTACACTTTCGATCATGACATTTGACAGCACCAGGGCATCATGTCTCAATCTGCTGTAGGATATACAGGTAGGAGCAGGTAGACAGCCCAGTGATATCACAGACAGACTTTTTCCCTCTGAGAAAGGAGGGAAATGTCAAGCTTGCGGAAGCCTTGAGAATGCACAATGTCAAGACGTCAAACTTTGAAGAGATGCCATTGTCATGCCCTTAGAGTATTTTACATGAGCTAAATAACTTTTTCTCTATCCGGTCTCTTCTTGCGTTACACCAAATTTGATGTTGATTGCCTTAACTCACTGAGAGGAGATAATCCTGGAAGTAACGATGGCAATGGCAAATTTAACACATTTCCTTTTTCTCTAACCAAAAATTAAAAATGGCTGACTTCCTGTTGGGTTTGCGGTCCAAGAGGCTTTGGTGAATGACTATAGGCATGATACATATGCCTACCAAATGTCATAATTCTTGGTTGAACATGCTCTTGGCTTTTGGTTTTTAATTTGTGGGGGTGCCACTCATCCATCAGTAGAATCCATATAAAGTGTCACATTCTTTTGGTTTTAGGTCTACCAAATGTAGTGGCTGTACAAACGTTTAAAGCCGCTATAAAAAACTGCATCTTCTTTCTAGACAAAAAACTTTGCAACCATGGCAACAGTGTGAAACTCAGAACTGTGAGCTTCACAAGGTAGCATGGTGAAAGTCTCAAATATTGGGTCAACCTTGTAGGAATTACTTGTCCTATAGAAAGATAAACATGTTTTTACTCCAACTCCTATTAAATTGACAAGTGAACAGATTAGTTGATGATAAGAAATATAAATCATAAGACCCTTCCAGGAACTATCTTGCCTCAGTCACACAACAAACCTTAAAGTTACACTTGTGTTTAACCTGCTGTCCCTGTCAGAATAAGTCTAAAAGCTGTGAAACATTTATTCTCTTCTTCAAGGCAGAATATTTTCAGTAAACAACTGATGTACGAAGACTAACAGCAATCACCAAAGAGATTTAGCAACAATAAAAGTCTTTATTGACTAACGTTAGCATTAGCGAGTGAAATAGCAAGTGTAAACCCAGTCACTGAATAGAAAAGTTCTATAAATACAGCAGTGTACACTCCAGCCTGGATCAAAGGCCACATATCTCTTCTTGGCACAAACACAATTAACCAAGAATAACGTAAGATCACTTAAGATCAGTTTTGTAGTGTTTACCTAACCTTTTAGGGCTGAAAAAGTCCAAAAAATAAAATGTATGACCTTTGGTTCACTTCTGCTTCTTAAAACCAAAAGATCGATAAAGTAAAGGTAAAAAAAAGTCAGATAAATACGTAGATCAAATCCCATTACCCACAAAAACTAAATTTGGACAGAACCAGAGGTAATGCCTCTGTGCTGTGTAAGTGAATAGACGATGAAGCACAGTGTTAAATTTCCATGTTTGAAGGGACAAACTGTAGAGATTCATCTTTTGCTTACACTGCACTGCAAAGATAACATCTCCTTTTGAAGCAGAAACCCACTCAAACTGTATACAACTCATGTTTAATCCTCTCTGAACTGTGTTGTTGTAAGAAGGCTGAAAGTCTGGAACAGATTCATTGTGAGCCCTAGATAAAGATAGAGCTCATTCATATTGCAGAGACTGCTGTCTATTCTGTGAGTTTTTGCAAGTTTGTAAGCCTTTGGCTCACAGTTCTGTCTTACTTTTGTTTTTCAGGGTTGAGCGCAAAGAATGCTTGCTTCTATGTGAGATGCAAGCAGATTGTTGAGCATGTTTTTCCGTTTTGAAATGAACAGGAAAATCGCTGATTTGAATAGCAGTATTCTTCGTTTATCAAACTCAAGAGGAATCAAAGAGAAAGGATTTAGTTTTCAAATCTTAAACCACCGACTTAAAAATGTTTTATTTCCAAATAAATGCCTGGGACTGGAGCAGATTCTACTTTTTCCTGACATGCTCTAACATTCCTAAAAATGTGTTTGATAAATTAAGTATGAGAAAAACTTGTATTATGGCATTGTTAATGTCTTTTTTTAATTTTAGAGACACTTTAGCGATATTGAATATGTTATTTTGGGAACTATGAATTCTGTCAATTGAATTGGATTCTGTTTTTACTTTGCATCTCCTTAAACTCCTATATCATATTTAGGTGCTGGACATTGAAATATGTCAAGCTTGTAACCCTTCAGTAATTAATATATGTCACTGTCACTGGGGGGGGGGTAGTCATGAGTTCAGAGGATTATGGGGCATTGTAAGACATGGTTTGTTAAGTTTAGAGCCTGCCACCTCCTGACTTAATGTCCCAAATCACTGACTTTAAAGAGACTAATTAAGTCAGAACCCACATTAGATTGGTCAGTTAATTTAAAATAACTCAGAGCTCATTAGGGTTAAAACTCCAACAACAATAAAGTGTAAGAAGCGTGAGAAGCAACAAGCCATCAGCTCACCAGACAACTTTAGAGAGTCATGTTTCTCGCTTTCGTCATAGTTGGAGGATGAACGGTCGTCATCTGAGTAAGAGTGATTGGCATCTCCCTGAAGACAAAGAGAGAGTGAGACAGAGAGAGAGTAAGACAGGTAAAAGACAAAATGGGATTTGAAGGGCTAGTACTATAGTGGACTCTCAAGAGAGTTTTTACTAAGGACCCTGAGCGTATATGCTCCTGAGTGACATCAGTCAAGAAACTGACTGTTATCTCCCAACAACTGTCAAACTCATTTGAGGCTATCCAGATGCCTCAGCTATGTTCTTGAATTTTAAGATGAAATCAGGAAAAAAAACTCTTGAACTACAGACACTACCACACAAGAACAGGATTTCCCCTTTCAGTCCTCACTACGAGAGAGTCTGGAGTAAATTGGGTCAGAAATCCCCAGTGTGTAGTAGAGACAGTGTGGATGAATGAAAGAAGGCGGGAGAACCGATGGGGAAAAGATTGATGGAAAAGAAAAGCGAGAGAAAGAATGAACCACAGTGACAAAGTGAAAGACTGATGGCTGTGTTTTGTTTGGACATTTAATAAAGATCAATCAAAATCATTTGGATGTGTGTCACTGTTTCCCGTCCAACACACACATCCTGGCTACATACTATGAATATGGTAATGCTCTGATCTGTGTATGAGAACTCAACTGAGTTACTCAACCACACTACAATTTTCCAATGATCCGTCTGGGAGTTTGACAGTTGATGGCAGATTGACAGCATAATTTTCCAGTGTTTTCCACTGAGATGGATGGCTTAGAAAAATAAACTGTTGTGTTTAATACACCATTATTATCTGCTGATACAGCCTCTCTTAAGTATCATCACTGTCACCCATGGTAATCAATGATTTTGCTTTACAAGCATTTACACCCTTTGCAACCTTGTCTTTCTTTGGATTTCACTGCCTTTTACTGGATTTACTGGTTTATGGCATACAAAGGCTGTACATACAACACATGACTAAGCATAAGTCTGAGTAAGGCTATTCCCTACTAGTAGTTGTACTGAAACAGATCTACAAGAACAAAAAAAAAAATCAAACATTTTGGCTGCATGTCCAATGGACTTGAAGAATCCATATCACTGGATTGAGATAAATTGTAGACTTCAGTACTGCAGTTTTGTTTTGTTTTAATGGATTTTGTCATATATTATTTCATATTTCCTTTAGATATTGTTGAGATTTTGACAACGGCTTTCTCATCATGGTTTAGGTTATGTAAATAGGAAAGATGATTTCACAACGGAGGCCAACTGTGAGCTATAACTGCGCCCTGGTTATTTGCTTTTAAGGTCGGCTTTTCTTTTACATTTTGCATAATGCAATAGGAAGTCACGTTACATTTCTTACAAGACGTTCCTGTTCACACCGTAACAGCAGGTATTGACCCCTAATAGTCAGCCTACCAAAGAATGGTTAAAGCTGGATAAAAAATCATTTTAAAATGTCCAGGTCAAAGTTCAGGCCAATACAAATGGCAAGGAAGCCAACTAAGGAGGTCTTGGCTAAAATGTCTCAGAGTGTAACTGATCAACTGTTACAGAAGATGTTTCTCTTTATAACCGACAGCTAAGGGTTATATAACTATATGTTTCCCTTTTTTGTGTCCCTAATATACACTTCACACGCATGTTAGACCTTCTCATTCCCTATTCAGCAGCGAAGGATAATGATCACCACTTAACTGCAAGGAAAACAATCCACAGAGGAGTTAGGTGTACTTTAGGAATTTAAAGTTTTGTGCACAGGCCACAATAGCCCTCGTTTATTTTAGCTGTGCAGTTCATTGGAAAAGGTTAAAGTCTTTAGTCTTTGAGAAACACAGACAGATGGATGTCAGCTGTCCACTGGAGAGGACGCTTTTCACATTAGACTAAGATGGATTGCGATATGCCAACCATAGAAGGACTGTCAAAGTTTAAAAGTTCATGCTAAGCAAAGTCTGCGGTAAACGTTGATTGGTATCAATTTAAAGGCCATGCTCAGGTGAAGTCAAATCTTTATCTGGAACTTTTCTTTCAGAAAATGAATAAATTGCCGTAAGGTAAGAGCTTGTTCATTTGCTCTCAGTTGTTTGCTATTATAAGGCTACACAAGTCAGAGATAAAATTAAATATATCATTCTGTGATGAAAAAAAGCCAACTCTGTTCAAGCCATTTTGCACTACTCTTCTTACCTCCGCCTGGAATCCTTCAACCAAGATGGCCACCAGCAGATTAAAGAGGACGTAGTTACCAAAGGTCATCAGGGCCACAAAGTAAAGAGCAGCAACTGGTGAAGTGGCTGCCATACCATTGTACAGAACTGCGTTCCAGTCTTCCTGTGTCAGAATCTAAAAGAATGAAAAAGAGAAAATGGGACATAAATAGTAACCCACTAAGTTAAACAATTGAATGACTAAATATTTATGTGAATAATAAATCCAGAAGTTTGCTAGAAGTACCTAGGCTACCAGAGAGTTCTAGTATGCTTTAAAGATTTTTGAATATGCCGAAGTTTATATTACGAGTTTTGGATCAGTAGATTCACATGTTAGCATCTTAACATCTGTCAGAAATAAGCGCAAGTCATCTGCATTTAGAGATAAGTCTACGCTGTAAGTGTTCATCACAGCAGTCATGAGTTGATTACCTGGAAAACGGTGACAATGGCCCAGAGCAGAGAGTCAAAGTTCTTCCTGTCTGGTACTGTGTCACCAGTCTCAGTCTTTAGACTGAATTTACAGCCAAAGATGTGCATCCCCAGGATACTGCAACACAACAGCAGAGTCTCTGATGAAGTAAACAAACTGACCACAAGGAAAACATATGATCTGCTGTACTTGGCTGACAATCATGCTTGGGTCTTTGCATTTTTTTGATGAACATGATGAACACAAAGCTACCTATTGAGAATCTTTAGATGAATAAGGCTTATACTCGTCTCAACTGCTTCCAATGTTTCCAATGGAACATGTTGTTCTGTGTATCGTGTTTTGTTGTTTGTACCATGGCTGTTGCAACAAAATATGTTGACATTAAGAAACTTGGAAATGACTTTGAATGTGTAGTGAATTGCATATTTGCACAAAATAGGTATACACACACAATGTTTTTGCAGAGTATCTAGGAGCATTTGTACACCATCAATGTGTGATACTAATATTATTACCAGCCTGACAATCCACATTGAGTTAAACAGACAAACTAACAATGAAATAAACATACCACCTTGGAGTAAACAACACACAGAATGATTCCACGTGTAAATAGTTTGATATACATACAAAAAATGTTGTGGGGATTACAGCCATTGATTGTGGGGATTACAGCCATTGATTGTTAGCTGAATGACCTTCAAGGCCCTCATACTGCTGCTGTTTTAGCCCTTGAATGTCTACATAAGCCTGTGTGTTATGTTTCTCTGCTTTAAGTATGTGCTTGTTAAACTCTAACCAGATCGTGAGTCAAGTGTCTGCTCATTATTTTGCACTCAGGGTTAATAGCTGTTACGACACAGCGTGACCGTCTGGGCTTCAATGGCAGATATTAAACAGGTGGACTTAGAAAGAAAGATGAAAGGCAGCACATACCAAAGCAGAACTTTTAAACAATTTTATCCCTCTTGTTAATCATCCTGAAGCAAACTTTAATTTACTGTTGAAAGAAGCGATACCATGCACAACGTACACGTGTCAACTTACCTAAAGATGAAGATGAAGAGCATCAACAGCATGCAGAAGGTGGCCACATTGTCCATGGTCTTCATAAGGACCACCAGCTGTCTCCTTAAAGCTGGCATGAACCTCACCAGCTTCAGCACTCTCAGCAGTCTGAAGGTCCTCAGCACAGACAAACCACCGTCTGACTGTCCAACGATCTCACAAACACTGAGAAGAGAAACACAGAGATTGTTTTTACATTTTTCACCTTCTACAAAATACAAGTGCAGACTCCCCTAATCCAAATAAAAGGCAGATTGGGCTGCTGTCAATGACTGTATATGCTTAAAAAGTCACACCTAACCTATGTAATCCTGAGCAGATTCAGAACTAACCATGCATGGTATTATCAGAGTCTCAAAGGAGCTTCTTTGCCAATCCATCTGGCATAAGTATGATATACTTATTAATGATATTAATGATGACGATAATGATGATGATGATGATGATGACGATGGTTTTAGGATGGTTGTGATGCCGATTAGAACTCTCAAGAACAGCTGTCGAAGGTGTGCTTTTGCCTGTCAGTACCTGTGTCTGATCGGACTTAAAGCCGTTTGTTTGCACTTACTGACACTGTTTCCTCTTTTCTAGATCCTTGCTTGTGTTGTACTTACTTTCTGATGTGCGTCACTTTGGATAAAAACGTCTGCTAAAATAATTGTAGAATTGTAGAAGTCAGGGGAGGGAGTAGGAAGACTGATACAGTCAACTTGGGCTGGTTGAGTAATTAATATAACTCACAGCAAAATATTCTTCTAAAACTAAAACAAAAACTTATTTTTACATAAATGTCTTCAAACAGAAGCTTAAAAACAACTTTACTCAGCTGCAAAATGGTACACTGAAACAGATACCTTGCAAAGTCTTACATGTACTTCTGTATGACATGCCAAAGGAGGCGTAGGCACATCGTCAGTCTTTGGGAAAAGTGGAGAAGGCTTTGCACATTTGAAGGTTAATACACAAGATGGTGAGAATAACCTTTTGGAAGATATATTTCAACAGTTGAATAAAGAGGCAATTCACATTAACATACCCATCAACCTTCCTCACACCCAAATCTTAACACTGTACGAATGTACGACTCACTCAGGTGGTTAGATTTCGACAAAGTTGTTCATTATTTCTAGGATAGTGGGCTGTGACTCCATGTCAGCTTTCAGGGGAAGTGCGGTTTTACATCTTCTCTTAGCCGCAAAAAACTATTCAGTTTTAAACTCTGAAAAAGTTGGTAGATGGAGGTGAAAATAGGGTACCTAACACATAATGGAAATTTGAGATATCTCTGATTTCATTTAAACTTGAAGATTAATAAACTTGAGGATCAGAAAATCCAAAAAAAAAGCTTGTTCCACAGGTGGCCACAGTTGTTGAATAACATACATGTGTGAAAACAGAGCACATACGGCCTTACCAATGGCCTTTTCTCATATTATTATTATGGGTTTTCTGAAAAGTGAAATATGTAATAAAGACATTCAGAGGTGATTAATGATTACTTTCATTATTAGACCCTGCAATGCTGTCAATAAATAAAGCTCATAAGATGCCCTATTCTTTATAAAAACTAAAAAAGAAAACTGTAAGATCTGAACTCATTACTTGTTCTTGTGCAACATAATGATTGCTGGGTTAACATCATCTTGCAGTTTTTAATGTGCATGTTAGAAGGTTACTTACATTTTGGACAATATATATTCATCTTTTGCCTTAATACTTGCTTTTTGCTGGAGCCAAACAGCCACAGACATGGTTTTCTTTTAGTTCTGGTAGGTTTTTTTTTATTAGAAGAGAACAATTGTTGGAAAACCTGGCCTTAAAAACATCAGTCCTCAAACAGAGATATCTATGAAAGGCTCAGCTCAGCCCATCAAATAGCATCAACATAGCTCTGGCCCTCTATTGGCAGAGATTGAATAGGGGCACTTTTACAGAGCCCTACTGTCTGAATAGCTGAGGACATTCAAATAGATGAAGAGGGGGAAATTGGCTGTGGAGCAAGAGCGATAAGAAGACATATGTAGATATGTCCAATCAAACAAGCATCTTCTGTGACAGGCTGCACATTTGATCTTGATCAGTTTTAGTTGCTTTGATGTGTATTTGATCTCAGGGTTATAATGGGGATCACAGATAACGGCATTCATACAGATGAATTGGAAAAAATGCTTGTTGATCAAAGGCACAGGCACTTACCTGAAGCTCCAGACACAAACAACAAAAGACAATATCTTGTTTACTGCTGTCTGATGCTTTGGCATCCAAATACATACAGGTGGTACATTTAAAAGAGGTAGAACAGAGATGACAGTTTGACAAAGCATGACATGAATAATTCAACTGCAGGATGTTTTCTACCCCAGCCTGGCAAACCCAAAAATATATGAATATATCATAAATTATATATTTTTGTAATACAACGGCCACGCCTCTTTTTCCCTTAAACCTGCCAAAATATGGTACATTCGGGATTGTTTCTATTGTGAAGTTACCTTATGATGACAATAATGCCATCAAAGACGTTGTAAGGGTTTCTCAGGTAGGTGAAGGAGCCATATGCTGTGATCTTGAGGATCATCTCCAACGAGAACATGCTGGTGAAAACGATGTTGCAGATCTCCAGGACATTAGTGAGCTCCTCTGGCTGTCGAGCATTGTCACACAAAAAAAAATAGAAGAGAAGAGAAAGAATAAATGAAAGGGAAAGAACGGTACAAGGTATGAGTAAAAGTGCAAAATACATCAAAAGTATGTTCACTTATAGGAGCTTCTTGTAGGTTCATTACAATTTAAATATGTAAAAAGGTTGGATGGATACAAAACAAGGATACAACATTGTTCCTCTGAAAGCTAGTTTGAAAAGTAAAAAATGGTAACTTTGGTATCAGATTATCGGCTATTTTGTCATGACTATTTTGATATTTCAGTGTCAGTTATTTTTGACTAAGCTTGTTAGTTAAGGCACCACGGGCTGTATTCATAAAGCTTCCAAGTGTACAGAGTTGCCCCTACGAAATTCTGAGAATCATGATGGTCATTTCCCCTGAAAGATAAGGCTAGATCCTAGTAAAGATAAAACAAAGCATCTTAGCCCTTGAGAGCTCTTACAGTGAAAAACATTAAGGAGTAGGGAGGAGGACTTTTAAGAGGCTTAGGAGTTTCTCAAGCAGGAAGACGGAGAGATAGGACAGATGTTCTTCAAACACTGAGTGATGGTGAGTTAATTAAACAGTACAGATTGGAGAGTGCAGGGATCGTTTTTGTCGTAGGCATCATCAGAGATATGCTCTCATCTCCATCCCAATGCGACGTAAAGGAAATAAGCAGGAACAAATAAATATAACTATCAACATATGATACGGCTAGGTAAGTAGTATTTCATATTTCATATTTCATATTTCCATGATCCTATCTTAATGCAGATTTTTCTGAGCCATTGCACTCCTAATAGACCAAGCTACCTGTTTATTAGTTTGCCATTCCTGCAACCGCTGAAGCACTTAAATATTGTAGCTAAAAGTTTGGCATTAACTAGATAAAATAGTGAAGAAAGTTGACGTAATAATCAGATTGGAAACCGAGCACAAGAGAGGCAGAGAGGTAAAAGAGAGAGGAAATGAGCAGCAGCTCACAATGTGGGGGTGGATCAAAATGTACAGGTCTATAACAAGCAGTCTCAATCAATCAGCACTAGAATATATTATTGCCACTCACACTTGAAGTACATATTTTCCCAAAAAACAATGTACAGTATTCTGTAGACAGGAGAAAGAGAAATGGGTTATGAACTATCTCTGTTTCCTTGTCTTTCTCCTCTCTTTGTCTAGTTATCAGCCATTAGCCTCAACATGGATCAAATGATGGAAAGGACAAGGAAAAGGAAACAAGCTTTTACACACTGCTGAACTCTCACATGGATGTATTGATGGCGGAAAAGAGAAACTGAACTGGTTACAGATCAATACATGTACAAGCAGAAAACCAGCAGGCATGTCGTTCAAACATTGTCCAGTCCGCTTGTCAGATTCCGATTCAGATTCAGACGACTTCCTTAATCCCAGAAGGCGAATTCCATCCACAGCACCGGGTAGAAGGTGAACGCAACACAACAGATTTTGCTGCAAGTACAACAGGCTCAACATTTGACTTATTCTAGTAGAAGCATATTGAAGCATCAGAAGGAGTTGTGATGGGAGCTTATAGTGTTAGCTTTCTATTTGATAATGGAACCAGAAAAGCAATTGTTAATTTACAGAGAGTGTGAAAATGATCACTCGTACACACTGCCAGTATTTAAATAAGACAACGCAGTCTTGTTAACACCTCAGTATTGGCAGGAACATGTTTAAGTCTTTATTCTTCGGCTCCCACCATATGCTGTCAGTCTCACATCGTTTATGTGCATCAGCGTCTTTCTTTCCAGCCGTCTCTGACTCTGTTTGACTTTTCTCCCTCCTTCTTACACTCTGCTCCTGTGTAGCTTTGCTCGATACAAAAGAAAGACACGCGCACAAACACACAGAGAACTAAATTTGGCACAATCATGGTTTCCAGTACGTCACTATTCCACAGAGCTCATCTGAAACCCTGAGCTAATGGCATTTCACCGCCCCAGAATGAATGAGCGTTGTGTGTGTGTGTTACATTTACATCTCTATGTCAGCGTGTCTGTTTGTACAGTTATGTATTCAAAAGTGTGTCTCTGTGCTTGTCAGTATTAATGAGTGTTTAGCTGTGTGGAAACACAGGCTAATGATGCGTGCCCACCAGTGTTGCTAGCGATGTGACGGCTGACCGCTGTTTGCAGACCAGCACAAACAGCATCGGCTGCCCCTGGAGATCCTTTACAGCCGTCTCATTACTGCAGAGCTGGGAAAAGACTGTAAGTGTTTTCCGGTCGGCTGATGTATGGAATAAAATAAGAAGAGCAGGGAATTGATAACACACTGAAGACTCGCTCGTTTATTTTGGAAAGTAAAAGTATGTGTTAAGTATGTACGTACTTTTAGAGTGAATTTAAAAATTAAAATAAAACTCTTTTAAACCTTAAAAAGAAAGCTAATGCCAAAAAGAATGTGTGTATTGTTCCAGCATCAGATAATGTATTGTGCCCCAACTCGTTTTCATACTGTACATCAATAAGTCAGGACAATCAAGTGTAGTTTAGCTGACACAAACTTAGCCCTTTCATTGTTTTTAAATTACAGATGAGAAAGCGTTATTCTGTTGATTCGGTACTATTTACTGTCTAAGCAACACATTTTAAACTAACTCTACAAAAGCAAATGGTCTCTCTTTAGCTTGATGCTTGAAAAACTAGAGGACGTTCAGCAACACAACCTGTGGAATGAACTGGTTGTTGCACATTGTTTTAGACTTTAACACCAGAGCCCATATTTTGTATCTTGGTCCCGTCGACAGTTAATGAACATTTGCTTAAACCATGACAGTGATCTTTTCCGAACTGTAACCAAGTAGATCAGGTCTCCAAAACATATAAACTCAAGAACAGTGACCAAGTGTGTGAATATAAGCTTACCTACTGTATCCTGTTACACTATCAAACTGTCATGTCGGTTAGGAGGAATCTGAATGCTAACGCTAAAATCCCCTGTTATCACAAACTATATATACAAAATATATATCTCCTCCTGAACTCTTCTTTCCACCTTGAAGCCTGAACAGATTGATTGACATTAACTTTCTGATTACAGCACTGAAGCTTCCAGCCCTCTTTTGGAAGAAAGATATCCCCATTTGAACGTTGTCGATAGAGTAAGCAGATCAGAAAAGCTCAGCCCTTAAAAGCCTTTCACAACTGTAATGCTTTAAGGCCTGTTGTACAGTGAGTCTGACCCGTGTTAGTGAACCATTTCTCCACCTGTCATATGTGGAAGTCTTGTGATAGCAAACAACCCAAAGCAGTAACAGTCAAAAACAAATCACAAACATGGATATTTGCTTCTTGAACAGAGTGAAACAATCCCTTCAACAAAAGCACCTTTCATGTGTCAACGCTAACCTTGGTTAGCCATCTTATTAAGGCCTATCCCGCTGGCTATTGATTCTTCAATAATCCTCTGCTGGGGTTGGAAGGTTGCATTTATTCACACATGAAGGGTTTAAGTATTTGTTTAAACCCTTGCATATTTTCATTTAAAGACATCCAACTGTTTTCTGTGGAATTGTTTATTGCCTTCAAGACCTCAATTATGATTTTCTTTTAATCGTCCAGCCTACTTTTCCTTTTGATTACAAAATGTGTTCAGTTTCTGCTGTGATCACAACTTGAATGTGGCAGTTAAGTAAGTGGGAGGTATAGAATATTTAGGCTGCGACCATGCTATGCTCCAGCAACATCAGTCTCAAAATGGTTTTTGATTCTTGACATTTTGTGATTCTACAGTGCTGTTTGATCTCCATCCCATCCCCGTCAAATCTCTAGAGTGCCCATCACGCCGCTACATTATTAATTCCCAAACAGCTGTTGAATTCTCAGAGGTGTCTTCTCACACGAGCAATCCATCCTGTTCAATGGGGGATAGAGCCTATTTTTCCCCCCAGAAATGCCAATTATGCCATCATAACATCTAAAATCTATTTAAAGAAAATGAATAATTCTACAAACGTAGTTGTCATAGAACTGTATCATATGTTTGAAGTTGTGAGCACTTTAAGCATCAGTTATTGAGATCATCAACACTACATTTCAAACATAATTTTTATTGAGGATAGTATTCTACTCTGTGAATTATTCCTTTACAAGACGGACTAAACTCAGTACTGTAGACATCATTTATCTCAAGTATTAAAAGAGCGTCAGTATTAATTAATATAAGAGTACAGAAGAACTTCTTCCTCAATACCTTCAGATACAGTTTACTTTTTGTTTCTGTTACTTTAATAACTGAAATGAGGAAAACACGCAATGATTGTTAACTGAGTTGCTGTGCTATCAGCTGCTCAGATGCTTTGCCTGCTTGTTATAATCCAGTGAAAAACATTAACACTGGCTAATTTTGTATTTGGGAATTTTGTTGAATGGGTTGTTTTGTCTGTTGGTTCCGATGTTCTTCTGGTTATTCTGCTGTTTTTTTAGGCTTTGTTCTGATCATGGTTTTGTTGTTTGTCAAAACACTTTGTAAACCCCGTTTTTGAGAAGATGCTAAATAAAAAGCTAATGCTAAATTGTGTTGACAATGTACATTCATGCTGGAGAGAAGCTTTCACAAAAACAATGCAGAGCTGGACAGATATATTAAAGTATCCTAAAATCTGATAGCATAAAGGAGTAGCTGTCATATTGTGAGGAAGTGTGTCTTTGAGCTCCTTTATTCAAATACATAATCTCATTATTAATTAGTACAGAAATATGTCTTTACTTATTTAAAATAAAGTATGGGGGCAACCCAAGACACTCTTTACCAACAACATGTTTTTCATTGTAAGCTGCAGCAGAGGCTGGTTTCCTAAATGATACCATCAGGATCACAGAAGCTGAAGAAAAAAAAAAAAAAAACTATGGCAACTGGGTATTCAATTGTTAACAGAACCAAAGCACACAGGTGTAGCGTGACATGTGGAAGCCCCTCCTCTACAGGATGAGGATCAGAGCTTCTAGAACCACTGTTCAAAAAGAGGGACGCAGGACTCCAGTTTGCCAAACAGGCAGAGGAACCCCAGTCATTCCAGCTCACTCTTTCCTCCCTATTAAAGAAGCAAAGTGTCTGTCTGCCTTCCCGGTTCTGTCTCTATTTTTAGCCGCCCCCAAGATGAGAGACGACCCATCACTGCGGCGATGGCAGTCGAGAGTGGGCGATGGTATAGCAAGAGCGAGGGATATTGAGTTAAAGCAGAGCGACAGAAAGTGAGGGGAAATGGAAAAAAATAAAATAAGCAAATGTTAAAAGAAAGCATCAAGAATCTTCTTTTTTTTTTAGAATTTCTGGGAGATATTCATGAGCATGATCTGAAACAAAGGTGTGATAATGCTCTGATGGCCCTACTCATATCCTGCTGCCTAACCTGACTGCTGACAATTCCACCCTGTTGGCTTGGGGTGTAGTTCATTCTGTATTATAAACTTTGAAGACGAGTATGACAGAGAGATGGATGCGGAGGAGAAAGCCTATAAAGAGCTTAACATTGCCGAGGAGTTTGGACATTGACTGACAGGTGCTCTAAAAGAGACTGCGAACTCTCACTGAAGGCGACACTGGTTGACGGTTCTATAAAGACGAGAGAGAGTGGGTGCAGCTCATGAATCAACAAAGTGGTTACACATCCATACAGCATTCATTTCTAATATTCTAAATACATACATGTGATGATACCCAATGCAGCTACAGATGAAAATACATGTATATAAATATAATTAAAGTTGACTGAATTTACAAGAAAAGTTGTTGAAAAAGAATTAAGAAATCAAAAACCAAGACAACTAGAAGAAAGGAGAGTAGTCCAGTCCTCCCTGGGATCATATTACTTTGTTTAAATGTGTGACCTATTTACTTCATCATTTGACTACGATTAATCATATGACTAGTTGTGAATCTTTAAAGGAAGTAGCTTGAAGGCCTTCATACCAGCTCTGATGAAGGCCTGTACAGTATAGCTGAAACATGTTGCCATGTTTTTCTGAGTCTGTAGCCCTGATGAATTAAAGGCTTTTTATCTACCACCCTGTATAAGTGCATCAGACCTCTTCAATAAGATAAAGTATGTACTTAAGAGCTTTGGCTAAGAGGTTAAGTGATCCCATAAGGTAAAGAATCGGACAAATCACTTACTGGCTGATCTGTTGTCTTGGCAACACAGACAGTGACATATTTTTTGAGCAAATACTTCATGCACTAACCTGCTGCTAACTTGTTCCTCAGAAAAAAATCCCAAACAAACAACCAACTTCCTGTTTGATTTACATTTTGTAAAACAATAGAATCCATCTATTTCATAGGAAAATAAATATTTAGAAAATAAATAGTATTTATTTATTTTTTTGTTTTTATGACAAATATTTGTAGTAGGAAAACATCAATCCATGACCACAGGGGTTAGGGAATTCAGTAACATTGAATTCAGTATTGAGCATTTTAACAACTTTCCAGAAGATAGGCTGAGGAGGACTACTTTAAGAAGGCAGGAATCTCAAATCAGGACTAATGACTCATTTATCATAAAAGAAAGGAACATGCCTAACCTATTTCTTCTTTCAGATACTTCCAAGTTGGCAAGCATTTTTAACAATTTTGTTTAGTCAAGCTCGCAGACAGACATCTGTGAAACTGAAAACATTTCTTTAAGCTCATTACAAGACAGCTGTGGGAAGGAGAGTGATTGACAGATCCCACAGAAATACAAGAGAAAAAAATCAAACAAGACAGAACACAAGCGGAAAAAGTGAGACAGTTGAGAGTACCTGCTCATGGTGCTCGATGCCCATGCTGATGGTGTTGATGAGGATGGCCATCATGATGCCTCGGTTGAAATACTTGCTCTCCACGATTCCCCACAGCTTCATCCTGGTATCATGCCACAGCTCTCTGCAACTCTTCTTTGGGCAACAGCTCCCTGCGACATCCTGGCCATCCTTCTCTTTACTCCCAGATTGCCCCCCCTCCCTATCCGTTTCCTCCACAGCTCCCTCCTCCGCTTCCTCGTTCAGCGCACTGCGAACCGGTCCGACCCCGTCGGCGAGCGACAGGGCTGCGGCACACAGAGGGCAGCCTTCAGTGGCAGAGGTGGCGCTGAGGGCCATGGGAGAGGCAGGTGAAGCGTGGTCAGGTTTGTTGTGGTGGGGACAGGGTGCACCTGAAATGAAAGGGTAGATGTTGTAGGCAAGGTCAATCAAATATAGCCATGTCATGACAACTACAATAATGATTCAGGACCAAGAAAAAAACAAATATTTTAAGGGATTGAGACCAAGTCAAGACACATACCACACCAGTGTAAGTCCTAAACTTCATGAAACACTCAAAAAGCACATTTTGTCAAAACATACATGCTTCTGAATTCACCTCTATCATTTCCAAATACATTGACAAAGAAAAAAATCTATATGTATAACTATTCCATGATATGCGTCCTGATCATTTCAAGGTTTTGCAGAGGGTTATTTTATACATGGGATAATCTTTTGCTTGTAAGAAGCAAATTTCCATACAAATAAGTACTTGCTTAAATTTCCTCACTCAACAATCAAAGATCATGTTTAACTTTCTGCCTTCTACCAGATAATTTCCTTAACATTCATCTAAATGGGATTGAACTTTTACAGGAAGAGCCTTTTTGAAATAAACACAAGGTACTTCTGGGTTAGGGTTAGGAAGGATAGGTAAGGATAAGCTCTCAGTGAAGATACCCCTCATCTTAATCATGCTCCTATGCCCTAGAAGTCAGAGTCCCTGTCCAAGCCCAGCTTGACTTGGAGCTGGGTTGGGCCAGGATAAATGCAAGCTCCAGGTAGTGACATAGCCGTTATTACCTACCATACCACTTGGCCCCTTCTGACCCCCATAACTATCAGGGTAGACTGATGGGCAGCAGGATCACTGGGTTGTCAAGTGGAAACCTCCCTTCACCAGTGTTCCATTCAATTAGTCCCACGACAACTCGGGAAGGCCAGACAGTGAGCTCCGGCGGCCCAAAGTCATCCTGCTTCATGCTAGCTCTCACTGCACATCATATCCACACGTAGAACTTCTACATCTTACCTACCCTACCACATGGCCACCAGAGCCCAAAAAGCATTGCCTATTTCAACAGACCCAGGCTCCATACATGCAGGCTCCAGATCTGGACAGGAGTGATACTACCTAACCTACGACCTGACCCCTAATGTTGCCCACAAACAAATGCAACTATTCCGGTTACCAACATTTCAGATGAAAAGAACAGCAAAGAGGACAAAAGGGAAACTAGAAAGACGCAGAGAAAAGACTGAAGAAAGGGGGTCTGCTGGATCTGGGCTGTTGCTTTACCTCCCTCCTCCCTCATTCTCATGAGGGAAAGATATATTTTATATTTTATCTGGGACAGTTTCAAACTTAAAACTATCGGCCATAACAACAACAAACAAACAGTGTGCTTGTGGCCGTAAAAAGCAATCTACTGAATATGTAAACCTTCCATAGAAGGAACATTACTCATTCTCAGCTCCACATGCTATGACATTTCCAGCGCTCTCACCCGAGATGCCACTGTGGTGCAGAATAAAGAGCTGTTTTTTTTTTTCTTGTTACTTACCATGCCTCATCACTGCTCTCCTCTCGCGTCCTCCTCTTCCATTGGCCTTCCTCTCCCTCAAATCCCCTCCTCCTCTGCCTCTCCCAACCCCCCGGAAGCCCCGAGGTTTTCCCCGCAGGGTGTTGTATAAGGCGACAGTTTGTCTCCTCGCCTTGCGGAGGATGTGACAGACCAGCTGGAAGAGCTCCTCGTAACAGTCTCCGGGTTGACTGTTCAGGGTGGAGGATGAGGAACATCGCGCACGCTGCTCCTGCATAAGCTGGTGCTCCCTCTGCTTGGTCTCCGAGAACTGAGTGGCGATGACCACGAGGCACAGGTTGATCATGAAGAAGGAACCCACCTGGGAGGATGAGAGTCAAACAGGTTATCACACTCAATAAAGCCTTGCAGCAACATGTTTGGTGTTGTGCAGCTAAGGCCTGTTATTCCACTTGACAGTCCAAGCATGAAACATTTTGCAATATGGTTGCAAACAAAGCTATTGTTTTTTACCTAGTTAGTTTTAAACTGCAAAGATTAAGGGGGGAGCTACATGTAACTTGCAGTACAGGCATGGATGCCTAAAATGGAAATCCCCATTCCAAATTCCAAATCTGTTTGCAACTGTGTAGCCTAAATATCTGAGTGCTAGGTGACATTAATGGTACATTTGCAAAGAACAAAGAACAAACACAACCTTATTAGTGAAAGGCTAGAATACTAGATTATGGGAGAACAGGACTTTTAATGCCATCAAATGGGAAAAGGGAATGTCAGGAGAATTACAGTGGCATACTGTAATCTATTTCGTTTACAACATCTATGCAGGAACAGCAAGGCCTGAATCAGAGTTTATGGAATTGTGGGTAGCTTTTCAGTCGTTTCATTCTATCCACCTATTTCTATTTTTACTTCATACCACCAAGAAACTACCTTGACTTATTGTGATCATTTTGCAGGGAGCAGGAATATCTAACATCCCGTGAAACATGCAAACATACAACCATAATGCCTACTCTATGATATCCATATTTCTAAATTGGACTGCATGTGCATCAGAAACCTGGCCTTGAGCCTGGTTGTCCGCAATGAATAATGAAATAGCTGTTGGCTTAGAATGTTCATTCAAAAAAGCTCTAGCCGAGATGGAAATTCAGGCCTTTTAAAGAGTTATGATTCTACTCTTATAATTTTACCTGCCTCATAAAATGGTAGTAAACTGATCTGTTTTATTCTCTGACTTTGATTTATTTTGAACACCAGTTCTATTGATCATCTCTTCATACTGTATACTTTTAGATTGAACCTTGGATCTCTTCAACCAAACTCTTATGCACTGATTTTTTTCAGACTGTATTAATTACTTACATACATAAATATAAGAGTTGGGTCTGAATAAAGCATTGTGTTTATGGCTCACTCACTTCACAAGAGAGCAGGTGAAACAGACATAAAAGGAGACAGAGAAAGAAAAGGCCAAGATCAAAGTTTAAAAAAAGCAGCGGAAGAGAGAAAGCTTGAAGGCAGAGAAGATAAAGAATGCTCTCTGGGTTGTGATCAATAGTGATTGTGAAGCTTGATAACCCCCTTCTGCTCTCCATCTGAACCTCTGCATGTTACAAAGGACCATGGGAGAGCAAGAAAGTGTGAGGTAGTGGATGTGTGTGTTGTTGCAAGATGGTGTGTGTGTGTGTGTGTGTGTGTGTGTGTGTTTTGTTTTTTGAAGGTTCTTTTCATTGATCCAAGGCAAAAATGTGTGGTCACACTGGCTGGTCTTCATGACATCTCACTGGACTCATGGTCTGAAAGGGAGGCAGTGGGTCCCAGCACCCATTCAGCACCCTGCCTGATCCCATCAAATATTTATACTCACACTCTGCTGGAGCCACAGAAATACAATTAGATTAGTGTGAGGCTTTGAATGTGTGTGTGTGTGTGTGTGCGTGCGTGTGTGTGTGTGTGTGTGTGTGTGTGTGTGTGTGTGTGTGTGTGTGTGTGTGTGTGTGTGTGTGTGTGTGTGTGTGTGTGTGTGTGTGTGTGGTTGGCAGTGAATGTGACTGTCTGAGAGAGAGAGGGTCTGGCGTTGATGAATTAAAGCGATACTAGAACACTTTTTTTAATTAAGAAAACACCTGACTACCACATATTCAAGCTACACTAAAAGATATGAAATTGATTGTTGAACCTAGTTATATTGAGAACAGCTCTGTGGAAATTAAAAGCTACTTTTAGTACAACTTTTAGGGTTTTTACATCATACTTTCCACTTGTGTAAGTGCCTCATCTAACCAGTTACCAGCACTAAAACGTGAAAAACTTAAATCTCATGACAAACTGGCCTTTAGACTCCCATTTCTTATATGGGCATAAATGAGCAAAGAAATTGAAGAATGGCAAAACCTGACACTTGGTAATTTGAGCAGAAGAAGGTTGCCTGTAGAGATTGAGGAGAAAGTTCACGGATTGACAGATTAATCTTTATAAGATAAAATGAGAATCTAACTTCAGTTGGATTTAACATCCTTCCACTCATTGGGAGCATGCCTCCAAAAAGAAGAAGGTACTGACATTTAAGCCCCTTTCAGTCATTAACTCTGGACAACTTCAAGACAATTTCAAGACATTAAGGTCCTGACATTTTCTAGAATTATCTTTCACCAATGCCACCCACAGTGGAGGTTGTCAGTGGCGGACACACTCTCAACTCTGTTATGGTGACTATATTTGCGTTAATAACTCTGATGATGTTTCTGCAGTTCAACTCAATAATATAAAACATAATACTGGTAACTGAGTTAAGCAGCGAAGAGTGTAAAAGTCAATGAACTCTGCTTAATGTGAACATCATCATCCCCCTCCCTTGCTCCTGGTGACTGTTTCAGACTGTTACCTGCCACATTCACACATTAGCTGACCCTGACTCCACGCAGACTTTTTACTAGGGGGTTGGCGGGAAATGTCTGCTTAAAGTCAGGGTGAACTGATTCAGAAGTTTGTGTTCAGACATGCACCCCACCTAGACAATGTCCGGACATTTTAGGTAGTGCAGTCCATTTGTAAAAGGGACAGATAATATGGACTTTGTCAGTAAACCGCTCCTCTCTTATAGACGTATTGCGTAAAAGTATTCCTTTAAAACTATTGTTTTTGGTTTGGTTACAGATGTTTTGTTGGTATTGCAACACTTGGTGTAGTATGTGTTTTAACTGTGACCTTCCCTTAAACTATAGTACGTTGCCTCATGTGGCAACATTTATATTGTAAATGGTCCCTTAACAAATAAAATGAATATTGTGGTGTTCGTTGTTTTCCACTTAAAGGCTTACAGCTCATTGTGCTTTGTTTCTTAAGTTGTCATATAAATGATTCACCTTTTGCTTTTTGTTTATAGTGCCCTTGGGCCAGAGATTAAACCCCTAATTGCTCCTGCTGGTGAATAAGTGTGAGTGGAATATTACTGATGGTCAGTTGGGCACTTTACATTGCAGCCTCTGCCATCTTTGTGTGAAAGGGATGTGAATGTGTGAATGTGACATGTACTGTAGAAAGCTTGAGTAGTACGAAAGGCTGGAAAAGTCCATTTACCATTTCCAGTTGTTTCTACAGTTTTGCCTCCACTAAATACACAGAATCCGAGCAACAGGTGGTAAAACGACAAAGTTACTGATCAGGTCTTTGTGTCCTTGTAAATATTTTGGCTGCAAGTCAATAGCAGGTATACATGAGGACACGAGACGGGCTTAGGGGCTACATCTCTGCAGTGCTGTATCAAAACAGGTTGTTGAGGTGGGCCGAGCTATTTTGCATTCAAATCCTTTAATTCCACTGAACTGTTTGATCGGGACTGTTCTACATGATGCTAATCAGTGTACAACATCTCTCAAACTCTCTCCATCTTTATCTCCCTTTTATCATCCGTCTCTCCATCTGTCACACTCTCTCTCCGTCTCTCTCTCATCATCCAGCTCACTCTCTTCATCCTACACTACCTCGCTCTCTCAATTCAATTCAGTTTAACACACTTAATCCGCATGAAAGTTATGTGAGTGGAAACGCCAAAGCATCTAAATGCAACGTCAACCTCCCTCACTCCCTATCTTCCTGTGTTTACTTCTTCAGTCTGTCTCCATCGCTCGTTCTCCTCCGTCTCTCCCTGCTCGGTGTCGTGCTGAATTAAAGCAAACATAATTAGAAGTCTCTTCCTCTGTGTGCTCTAGAGACGGACACGGGCCTTGAACACAACTTTGTGACTTTTTTACCATGTGAATAAAAATCAATTTCCTCCTCCAAGTGTGTTTGTGTGACAAACCTTCAACGATGTTGTAAGAAAGCTGACAAGAGTGTGTCAAATCCCCTCTCTGTGAGCCAACGGCAGGGAGGAAAATCCTGCTATGAAACTTTTAAGCTTAATGAGAAACATATTTATCTTAAGTTTCATTACAAACTGGAGATTTGTTCCTCATTTACATAATGTTCTACACGTCTGCTTTAGTATACTCAGAAGAGAGACATTAGGGAACGTTTCTGTTTAAAATTTGAGCGGTTAAATTGATTTAATCCCAAATCTCAGGGGCAGTTCCAGGTGATGGATTAATTGGGGAAAGATGCATACTACAAAGGCAAGCATTAACAAAGCAGTTGTGGTATATTAGTTTTTGGTTCCTTATATTAGTATATTAGTCCTTAAACTAAACATGTCTACCATACTAGTGGATGTTAAAGGCAATCAGACACCTCTCCTTTAAAACTGGCCTCCTCAGGATAAATATTTTTAGACTAATGCTGAAATATCATGATTACTTTACTATGTTACAGTGCAATAAGTATGATTGATCTGTTGCTAGTTGTAAACCACTTAAACCCCTTTTCCATAATGGGTAAAAGAGCAGAGGTAAGGAGGGATAATTGAAGTTAGGTTGAGCTGGGTAAGGACACATTAAGAAGGGAGCCAGGTTAGGGAGAACAATGCCTTTATTCAAAGTATAAAAGGTTATCTTCTGATTTTTTTAATGCTAAAAACAACAACTCCTTGTCTCTGTAGCATTTGACATTGAAAAAAATAGTTGAACTTAATGTTACCATTACATGCATTAAAGTGTAGCTTCCGAAATTGGCTACACATGGAACCCTGAACTGTTTTTTCTTTCTTTCTTGGTACTGCCCTCAGGACAGATTTTGTTTGGGATCTCTTGGAGGCAGCAAGAGTCAAATCATTTTATTTACAATGTGTTATCAGTGCTTAAGGATAAAGGGGGGCCCTATAGCCTACCTGCCAATACTCCTGTTTTTTTTTTCCAGGTATGATCTTTTTTTATAAATAATCCATGAACACAGATCCATGTTTGGTTTGTTTGCCTGTAGCTATAAAAGCTGCCAGATCATCTATGAATCACAATTCCAACCACAACAACTTAAAAGGACAAACCCTCTGTCCCCTGGCAACCTACAGCCTGATTCTAGAGGTTTATTTATTCAACATTAACACCCTCACATCACGGTTACAGGATTTTAGCGAGTGATCCAAAAGCCCTGACATGCCGATTGTTATAGAGGGTTGTAGAGAAATACTTATTGATCATTTACAGATTAAAAAAAACGAACAAAAACTTATTGCACAAGTCTGAATCATTGTGGCCAATAGAAAGAGACAGACAGGTATAAGTGAATATACATAGGCTATCAACAGACTACCATGAATGATGGCACAAATGTGAATTTTCACATTAGACACATAGGTGCATAAATGAATAGAGTATCTGACACTCAAAACCTTCCTGCAGGAGGACCCTGAGAACACCCATCCTGGTATTTTGAAATCTAAATGTTGGCAGGTATGCTGTTGTTGTAGGATCGCGTGTAGGAAGGAGTGAGACTGTTTTCTTAGCATTCGAGGACTACAGGTTAAATGTTAAAATACTTTTTTTAGTCATTAAAAAATGTATCTTCTGAGTCGATGAATTTATAATCTCTGGTTTCTTGGGGACATGATTAGCTTTGTCGCCTTCATCAGTGGAAGATTTCTTTATATTTATAACTCTGAATGTTGGAGTGGACATTCTCATTTTAATTTGACATAGACCTTTTTTTTCTAGACACATCATTATTATTTTACAGCTAACACAAAAATGCAGCAATTAATTGGTGGGCTATTTTTATATTTTGTGTGAATGTCATGCCAAGACACTGACAGATGCCCTGTTTCTCTACTTTTAGTTGCTCAACAAGACTAAACTGAAAAAGGACGGAGTCTTTGGCTCATGTCTTGTCTCTAAGTTTACTTAAGATAGACTAGTAGGTGATCTGAAAGTAGTTTGAAAACCAACAGGGCTTTCAATCTCTGCAGAAAACTCCTAATATTTACAGGAGGAACGCAAACAGCTGAATTCTTCCCTCGGACTTCAGCCGGAGTTTCTCCTGCCAGCCCCCTAGTATTTTTTCTGCAGCAAGTCCGAGTGGGCTGAGAAAGCAGCAGGATATTATCCTGGGAAATTCACCTCGAAGTGGGATGGGGGTGGTGATGTTTATATCCTGTGACTGGAGTCAGCGCATAGACAGTAAACACGTGACTGCTACGATGTCTGTGCTCATATTAAAACGGCTGGATTACGTTTTCTCTTTGTCAGTATGTTCTTCTCCGCTCTTTTGTTGATATTGTGATCCGTCAAACTACATGTAGCATTGAGATAAAGGCACATTTTGTCATTATAACTTTGTAAAGTGAACTCTGCTACTTCTGCATATTCCTTCCATGTCACGTCTTCCCTCAGGAGACCCCCCCCCCCCGTCTGTCAGGGACAGTCTCCCACTGTGAGGTGCATATATTTTCAGCAGTGCATATGTGAAAACAGCTGAAGTGTAATTTCCCTCTGACTTTAAATAAATCAAGATGAATGAATATTTTGTTCCTCTCTGGTATAATGTTTGAAAGCTCTTTTAGAATGTTGTCAAGCTTCATTGTTTCTGTTTTAAGATCTCATGCTGAGTCCGTAAATACATAAGTTTCTGCAATGACTATATGACTATATTAACGATAGCCTTTGTCTGGTTTTGGGTTCACACTAGAGCAGACGTATGGGCACCAAAGAACAGGTAAGACATACAGCTAAACCTGCTGCTGTGTCTGCATGTGTCATGTGTGCAATATCTGCAATACACGCTGAGGGATTCACTCTAATTAATTATATTTCATTTAAGATCAAAGAGGGAGACCAACATGTGGTCAATTCCTCTCTCCAGTCCTCCAATCAACTCTCTGATTTCATGCCTACACTTCAGTACATCCTTACTATGAATCTTCTTTTGATCGATCCGTCCCTCATTCCATCCCGTCCCCGTCCTTCCTTTTCCCGACCCTCGCTCTACACTACTCACTCACCATCTTTCCCTCTCTCTGATTTCCTTCCACTTTCTCCCTCTATTTTCCCTCCCATTTCATCATCCTTACTCTACACCAGCAGTCATTTCCTCTCTTCCTCTCCTTCTCTCTCTTCACCTGTTCTCTGTGTTTTTTTCAAATGACAGGCAACTATTTTATCATGGAACCCTATGTGCTGAGGGGAAAAGATAATTTGCATGAAATACATTTATTGTTAGCTATAATAAGAAACAAGCATTTTATAAGACTAGTGAAGCTATATGTAGGGACGAGAGCTGTAATAATGTGGCGCTATAAGACACATCAGTTCAGTCTAATCAGATAGAACACAGATATAAACTCTTTGCTCTCTGCTTGGGTAAAATTAGAAGTTAAAGGCGGCTTAAAAGTAAGTTAGGTCAGGGCAAGAGAATGGTGTCGTCTGTCTTTGGGCTCAGTAGATTAATGACAGCACTGCAGCACCGATAAAAGAGCAAAACACCATTTAAAATGAAAACTTTTGGCACATTTCAAAGCTGCTGGGTGGAGTTTTAATACTGAAATTATCTAATTATCTAATCTAATACAGCAAAGAAGAGCATCAGCATGAAGATTATATCTGAATGGTTGTTTTTGAATGGCAAAATCAGCCTTTTAATACTTTCTTAAAGCAAAGATTCTCAGTGAGGGATACATTTGGCTGTAAAAAGAAAGCTGGGTGATATTTTGTGTTAAAAGAAAACTTCTTATGTATGAGCAAATAGATGAGAGGTTCTACCAAAATCCACACAAACCTAAAGGAGTGAATACCAACAGAAGAACATTGCAGGGCACTTTGGCACATTCTTTAAGGCACTACCCACACGTTTAGCTGTGCTGCTCATTCCACGATTGCATGATCCTTACAAGTTATACCTCGTTGTAAAGGTGACTAATTAGGGTGTTCCAACGATATATAATACAACACAAATGGTTATTATTAAAGGGCCGAATTGAGTGACCGAAATATTGTTTGCAAAGTTTTTTTTGAGGAGTTTATATATATACTTTATTAAATAATAAATATCTGAGCATAACCATGTCCCCTCCAAACCCCATATCAGGAACATTTACATAACTTTAAATGTATATTTTAAATTCCAGCCCAAACAGAATTCTAACATTTTGAAGAAACTATGTTCATAAGAACTTCCAGTGGCTTTATTGTACATTTATAACTGTGTGTGGTGTGGTGTGGTGTGTGTGTGTGTGTGTGTGTGTGTGTGTGTGTGTGTGTGTGTGTGTGTGTGTGTGTGTGTGTGTGTGTGTGTGTGCCGTTTGTGTGTGTGAGTGTGTGTGTTTGGTTGTGCATGTTTTGTATGTCTGTTTCCAAGTGTGTTTCTGTGTAACTGAGAATAAAGGGCAGAGTGACAGATGCATGAATGATGCTCAGTATAGAACTGAGCTGGAGAAGAGGAGCTGAAACGATCATAGGGGGGGAAAGGGATGAAGAGAGCGAGGTGGTGGAGATAAAGGGAAAGAAGGGAAGAATGAAAAAGAGGTCGAGACAAAGGGTTTGAATGAATGAAGGAAGGACAGAAGGACAAAGAAGCAAATCCAAGGATTGATAACTGACAGATTGACAGATTTAAAGAGAGCGATGATATGGAAGAAGGAATTAAGGTTTTAAAAAAAAAGAAGGATGTGTAGAGAGGAGAGTAGAGGAAGTCATAGTGTCTGGATCTGAAGGCAGGCAATTAAAAGTGTAATAAAAACACAAGACAGCCCCTGGTCAAGGGAGGTAACTGGGACTGGAAGTCAAACTGCATTGAATCTCATCTCATCTCATTATGATGAAGCACACACACACACACACACACACACACACACACACACACACACACACACACACACACACACGCACACACACAGAGTCTCTGAGGGGCTAAAAACAAGAATTTACTGAGGGGAATATGGCTTGACAAAGATTCAAAAAGGTTTACACCCATTTTTGCACACATTTACACAGAAGCTTTATCCCTACAAAATGGGATTTTAGAACAGCTTTCACTATGACACTGTGTGCATTTGTATGTGTTGTGTGTGTGTGTGTGTGTGTGTGTGTGTGTGTGTGTGTGTGTTGTGTGTGTGTGTGTGTTTGTGCATGCGTGGGTGCATGTGCATTCATTGCATGACTATACAGATCAGAGAAAAATTGGATTTTTATTGCAGTCATTTATATTTTTGAAGCAATTTCAGTGATTGCAAGTTGGCTGCCAGAGGAAACCACGACATCATTATGTGTGTGTGTGTGTGTGTGTGTGTGTGTGTACGTCTTTACTTAACTCTTTTTTGGATTCAGTTGTAAGGATTTGATGCCATCGTGTTGGTCTTTTAAAAAGAGTGATTCCAGTAGTATAGTAAGATACTACTACTACTACTAGTCTGTATATGAAGTGATGTGAAGTACTGCATGTTTAGTCTGACTTACAATAATCAGAAGAATGAAGTAGATGAAGTTGTAGAAGGAATGAGCATCCATCACGTAGTACATGATCTCCACCCAGCCCTCCAGAGTGATGACCTACAGCAAAGGAGGAAGCACCACAGTGAAAAAATAATATATGTATCTATATATATTTATATATATAATCCTTGTGGGTAGTGCAACTTCTTTCAAAAGAATATTCTAGTATTATTAAATATTATTCAAAAAATTAGCTAGCATTATTTATCACATTTAATTTAAAAAAAAAAGGCTGCAATGCAAAATAAATAAATTAATACATAAATAAATAAACATGTTCCTTGTCATTATGCTAGATAGTAAAATTAGACAATTTAAACATTAAGACAAAATTGAATTTCTAGATGGGACCTCTGAGTGCTAACTTGATTTTCCTCAAGTTTGAGAAAGAACATTTTGTCACTCAACCAGCAGGAAGAATTCTGCTATATGCCAGGAGGGTAAAAAACGCAATTACATCAGCCTGTTGAGCATGTATATGTCTGGGATATCTACAGGGAGTCCTTATCTTTTCTTCTGGCAAAGAATACTTTAACCCCCATCTGATTGAAAAAGTCTGTGTTGAACACTTTGGTTATGTAAGTGGTGTTCATGTCCCCTCTCTTTGTATAAGCTAAGCTTGTCAAAGCCATTTATTATAATGTCCCTTTTTCCCTATAAAACAAGGATAAATGGAATAGTTAAGAAACATATTGAGATAAAGGGATGCTCACAGCTAATCAAAACTGTCAACCCCTGTATTATTTATTCTGAACTTCCTCCTTGTCTTCTGTAACTGGTAGCTATCTAAGTAGCAACATCCTTTGCAGGTCTATATGGTACAAAGGTTATCAAAATCCCCCACCTGGAAGATGACAATCCAGGCATAGGCGATGTTGTCAAAGTTGATCGCTCCCTTATGTGGGTTGCTGAATCCAGTATGACACCGGGTGTAGTACCGGTTCCAGTTGACACATAGTCCTGCTACACTCACGCTGCCGTTGGCCAGAGGCTCCGGGCTCAGACCCAGAGACTGACGGTACAAAACGTCATCTTTGTCCAGACAGCACGTCCTGCCTCCCTCGCGGCGGGCAGGGACGTCAGTGCAGGACATGATGCCATTGTCAACCGGCAGGGAGCAGATGAAAGGTCGCTCGTCGTCCTCATCAGCCATGTAGTAAGGCCGAGGCAGACTGATACCTGTAGTGCTGAAAGAGTGGAACGAGAAGATAGCAATATTACATGTACAGCCCTTTCAAAGCACACTTTCACACTTCTAACACAATGATGTGGAAGTTGGAATTTAAAATAGAAGTGTCAGTCATGCTAGCTATTTTTATTAGAATTTTATGATACAATATGATACGATAAGATACCATGCCATACAATACTATAAAGATACAATACACTATCACGGGTAATTTGTCTTGGACTCCAGTGCTGCACATGTTGAGCTGCATCAGCTCCCACCTGTCCTTCATGGCTATTTCTGATATTTGTCTGGTGTGACATCGAGACTGAAACTATAATGTTAGAAGCTGGAGTATGATAGGGTAACAGGATGAGGAGAAAGGGAGTGGTAGATTGTTTGAGACAGGAGTTGAATGTATTAGTAATGGTAAAATTAAAAGAAAATTACACCACGGACACACCGTTAGTGAGAGTAATTGTTTAAGTGTGGTAAGATATGAGAGGGTACGGGTTTCAGTATTTTAAAATACTTGTTAGTAGGCATGATATGCAGCACATTGGTCGGCTATCTGTTAGCTGACTGTGAGCTTTAGTTTGCCTAAGTGCAGCTTTCACAGGAACAGGTTGATCAGTGTGAAGCAGCAGAAAGCATTAGGTAGCGTTTGATCAGTCGCCCTTTGTTAGCTGCAGTCCTTTAATGTCTACTTTGTGTGACAAAGCTTTTAACAGGGCGACAGAGGGATAGGAAAAAAGCAGTGCATGACAAATGATGTTCAGTCAGAGTTAAACGTTAAACATTTGCATACAACGATCTTCAAGTAGAAATAGGAAGACAACAGGAAAGTTAAGTTAAGTTAAGTCAGATATAGGAAAGAAAGAAAGACAGACAGAAAGAAAGAAAGAAAGAAAGAAGAAAGATGTTGGGGAAGGAAGCGTATAAAGTCGAATAGGAAAAGATGAGTCTGGAAAAGAAAGAACGAAAAGCAAAGGAAAATCTAAAGCTGTGGATCTATAGCTTCAAGAAGGAGAGCAAGACAGGGAATGAGCAAATGAGAAAATGTTGTGAGGAAAAAAGACAGAGCGACACAGAGAAGACACACACACACACACACACACACACACACACACACACACACACACACACACACACACACACATGCAGTGGAGTTTGCCTTGCCATTACAGAAAGAGCAAGGTAGACACTAAAGACAGAGAGCAACCGAGCCGTGTGTGATCTCAGTTTAATCTGAGGGTAGGTTGCTATTTAAAGGGCAGACTGGAGGAAAAGATACAGATGAGTGCAGCCACTGCTTAGCAATTACATGTGACCTGGTATTTGAGAAGGCTCGACAGAAGTAGCATTGTGAGTACTTTGCCTGTCTCTCACTCCACTTTTAGTCCTTTTCAGCTTGCTCTTTGTAGCCCTCTCGCTGACTCTGTCTCACTCTGCATTGTGAATCCATTACCTCAGGAGAACCAAGGTCTTTTAGTTAACTGTGGGAATAGATAAATTCTGACCAGGATATCATATTAGTTGATTTTTGTCCAAAATGTCTAATTTTATCATCACTGTTGCAGTTGTGTTCACGGATAGGGCCTACAAAACCACAACCTATTTTACAACTAGCATTTCTATGCAAACAGGAAAAACATTTTTTTTTTTTTAAATATAAATGTAATAATCACATGTTACAGTGTGTCACAGCCTCAGATCATCTTTTTGTTTGTGGCTAATTTGTCTACAATAGTCAAAGCTCCAGAAACCAATTTTAATTTACTGTATGAAACTTTTTGCCTTCTTGTCTCGCGATGTAAACAGGCGCTCACTAACTTCTTTATTTCTTCAAGAAATCTGTCATGACCTACTCTATGCTTCAGGAAACAGGCTAACTGAAGTATTACTTGGAACAACAACTGCTCTTTGAAACTTTTCCTGCAATTGCTTTTAATTTTGCCATGGGAGAAATCACTTCATCCCCCACATTGTTTTTCCCCATTGTTGCATTTTGGTATTTTGTCATGACAGCCTTCATGACATTAAGTGTTACTGTTGCTACATGGATACGTCTGGATTTCCTGTCTGTAAAACTTATGAAACCTTATTGGTTGGCTTGACAAAACAGCCAATGGCGTATACCCTGATAAATTATGTACTTAATTCGTATGTTTTTACTGAACTAAACAAAATTGATTCCTTTTTTAAAGATTTGCATAGGGTTGATCTGCTTGGCATTCTTCTGCACAACATTTGCAGATTCTCTCTGCTACCCCCTGCCCAACCCCGAGAGAAACTTACTCTGAGTTGAGCGTAGTCAAGACGAACAGGCGAAGACCAGAGGAAAAGAATATGTTTACAGACGAGCTAATGTAGCCAAGTACAATTTACATGACTATAACATGAATAAGGTACCTTGGACTACCATCAGTTAACAAAATTTCCCATCCAACAGTGTATCCAAATCAAAATCCAGGGACAGACTTTAGAACAAGTTCAGTGTTATAAACACTTGTACCAGCCTCCACCTGTCAGTGGATTACCAACTTCCTGACTGACAGCAGACAGCAGGTGAGGCTGGGGAGCACTAAATCCAGCACCCGGACAATCAGCACTGGCACCCCCCCAGGGGTGTGTTCTCTCCCCACTGCTCTTCTCCCTCTACACCAATGACTGCACCTCAGGGGACCCTTCTGTGAAACTCCTGAAATTTGCAGACGACACCAGCGTCATCGGCCTCATTGAGGAAGGAGACGAGTCTGCTTACAGACTGGAGGTGAAACAGCTGGCTCTTTGGTGCAAGTCAGAACCATCTGGAGATGGACCCGCTCAAGACTGTGGAGATGACAGTGGACTTCAGAGAGCCCCCCTTCACTCTCCCCCCCCATCACCATTCTGAACAGCACAGTGTCTACTGTGGACTCCTGGGATCCACAATCTCTCGAGACCTGAAGTGGACCTCCCACATAGACACAATCAGAAAGAAGGCCCAGCAGAGGATGTACTTCAATTCAATTCAAATAACTTTATTTATCCGTTAGGAACTTAATTTGTGTAAAAGAGCATCAGTGCGCATACAGCTAGACACAAAAACAACAGCAGAAACACACACATACAAGTGGCTCAAGTGGCTGCGTCAGCGAAAGGAAGTTCAACCTGCCCCAGGAGTTGCTGACCATGTTTTACACCGCCATCATCCAGTCTGTTTTGAGCACCTCCATCACTGTCTGGTTTGGATCTGCAACCAAACTGGACAGACACAGACTGCAACGGACTATAAGGACTATAAGAAAAAAATCATTGGTGTCAACCTGCCCCCCATCCAGGACTTATACCAGTCCCGGGCCAGGAAACGGGCAGGTAGTATCACTGCAGACTCCTCACACCCGGACACAAACTTTTCAATCTCCTCCCCTCTGGCAGCCGTTACAGAACACTGTACGCAAAAACGACCCGACATAAGAACAGTTTCTTCCCCCAGGCTGTCACTCTGATGAACGCTAAACAGTCACAGAGAGTCAGACCTGTCGCGGTGAAATGACTCTAAACCAAACCATCACTGTGAATATATATATATATATATATATAAATATATATATATATTATTTAATTTAAATTAGTCTTTTCTTATTATGTTTATTGTTGATGTTGTATCTGTACATAAGAGAGCACAGTTCACCGAAGTTAAATTCCTTGTGTGTGTAGCATACCTGGCCAATAAATCTGATTCTGATTGATGTATTGATGTCGATAGCAGGCTGACATTCAGTGAGAACACAGAAGCAGTTTGTAAGAAAGCACATCCACTTTCTCAGTGAGCTAAACTGGTTTGCTGTGTGCAGTAAAATGATGACACTTTTTTACAAGTCCATGGTGGAGTCTGTCCTCATATTCAGCTTTATCGCCTGGTTCGGGAATATCTTAATAGTAGACAAAAACAGTTTCCAGCATATAATTAAAGATGGTGTTAAATGACCTGATCTGTCTCTCACCTTCAGAAAGAGAGCTGCAGATAAGGCTCGAGACATCTTAAAGGGTCCTCAACATCCTCTGTTTGGGGAGTTTGAACTACTAAGCCAAGTCCAACAGGTTAAACAATTATTTTATTACTTAGGCCATCAAGCTTCTGAACTCTAATAATGACCCTGATGACTGATGATGTTTTTTTATTCTGGTGTTGATAAGGGTTTTATTGACGTTTTATACATTCAGTTTCCTGTTGTTACCTAATGAAATGTTGTAATTATGTTTTAATGTTGTTCACAGTGTATGTTGTTTCTATTGTCTGATTCTATGTGCTTGTGTTTCTTAATATTTTTTATATTGTTTTCACCTGGCTGAATGAAGTTGAAAGTTGAAAGTATGATATCTTAAGTAAAGTAGGGCAGTTCATGTGTTATCATACAAATGTCAAACTGATCCAAGCCTCATCATGGTTCTTCATTGGCATCCACAAGCATGAAAAGCAGGGTCTGTTTTATGGTTTCCTTTTTCGTATGTTCTTTTTATGCACAATAACAAATTGGATCATATAAAGAAAAAAACCTCATGACATTGGTTACAACAATATCTCTACATTGACTTTTTGTTTCACTCTTATCAGGGTCTCTTGGAAAAAAGGTCTTGTGTTGATTGACCCGTCCATCGCCCCCAACCAACATATCAAGCAGAATTGATTTCTCTTTCTTCCAGTCACTGGACTTCTAATATGTCTGATGGCTAAAAAAAAGTTGCTATGGCTGTCTCATATTAATCCAGATGGGTTTGTACGCTGTAGGAGTTAGTTAGAAGCCTGTCATTTAGAAGCCAAGTGTGTTAAAGTGTCTTCAAAATTGTCTTTTAATTACCCAAGTTATACACTGATTATATTATGTTAATTTACAGGATATGAACATGAATAATTAATTACTGTGAGTAAAAAAATAACAGAGCTACTGAGGTGAAATAAGAGTTATTCAGCTCATGATCATCGCTAATCAGAGGGCTGGCAAGTTAACAACCAAAATGTGACAGTCTTCCCAG